GACTGTCCCTAAACCAGAAAAGAAGTTTCAGTTTCATTTCTTTCCGACTTTAATCAAACAAGAAACCTATGCTGCTAATTAGTTGGGAAAGGTCAGGCCGACTGTGGACTGAAGCTGACTGTAAATCTGTGAGACATGATTCCACAAAGCTACTGCAGGCTGAATTGTAAATAAAAAAAAATTCATTTTGAAGAAACAAACAAAAATGTATTAGATAAATATGCACAAACCACAGATTGTCCAAAACAAGTGTTGTTCTTTTTACTACATCATTATTGGTACTTCAGATAGTAACAATAATAATAATAATAGAGTGAGTAAAATATAAATAAGTAGGTTAATGTGCGACTGTGGCTGTCACTAAAAGTTTCCATGAACCTGCAGTGACAAGGTTGTTTCCATAACCAGATAAGTTTATTGAATTCACCCAAGTATTCACAGGTTATATATGCAACAGGTCCTGTAGTACTGACAGCAAATACAAGTGTAACTACAGTGTCTCACGTGGTTGCACTACATTTGCAGTCACACAGTGTATGCACAACACACAAGGTTAAAACTCTCTCTGCTGAGAGGGAACCACGTTGTGGCAACTAAGAACATGACAGCTCTTCATCAGATGAAACACTGTGGAGTACAAATCACATTACGTACTTAATACAGAAAAAAAAAACTATGTCACCTTTAAACAAATGTGTGATATGAGAATCAGGCGGTGACACAAAGTTTAGAGACAAAGTTTTCACTGCTTAGAGCTTTGTGTCCTGCAGTTTTATTGTATGCAAAATGTTTGGGTTCTTTGCTTAGACGGGTACAATAACGGCATCAAGACATGACAGAGGGGGGGCCATCAGTTTGCTGTTCAGCATCATTAAGAAGTGGTGATGGACAAAACCTTGTATTTAGCAGAAAAAAATGATTTATAAACTCAAAATCCTGCATAAAACAAAACATGACACCAAACAGGATCCTGCTGCTGTGTCCATCATCTCCAGTTCACACCTCAGTCCTGTGAACCTACAGGTTTCATGATTCGCCGAACTATGACCCTGCTTCTCCTTCTCTGAGGTCGAGCTCCAGCATCAGTCGCAGCAGCCTCCGCCTCACCTGGCAGCAACCTCGAGGGTCTGGGTTCACCTTGAGGCGGTGGGAGCCTCCTGCCTGATCGCATACCATCCACGAAGAACTCCACCCTGTCAAACCTGCCGGTCAGCTTGGTGAGCTGCTCCTTCAGGGCGTTAAACTCCGTGTAGAGGTCTCCCAGGGCGTGGGACAGGGGCTGGATCCTGAGGGATGGACCGGTGAAAGGAAATGTAGCTTGCTCTTCTCACTCTTCTGACCAGTGATCAGATTCTGGTTAAAAATGAATAAAGAACGTGTCCTCACCTTCCATAGTCGGGCAGCACAGTGTTGTGGTCATGGAGGAGCAGGTCTCTGACCTGCGCCGTGATGGCATATTTCCAGTTGTCCAAAACCAGCGTGAGGTTGGCACAGCCTCTGCTGTTCACTCTCTCTGCTGTGGGGTTAAGTTGTGCTGGTTAGAATGAGGTGTTTCTCCACCCACTGATCATTTACACCATGATTTCACAATTAGATTAAAGTAACATGTTTTCTTATTGCGTGTGGTTTTGACAGCACCTCAGTGATACTGCGAGTGAAAAGCAGTGGAGGAAAAGTAGGAAATAGACAGGAAAAGTACCAAACCTAAAAATTTCTCTAGTATATGCAAGAGTAAATGTATTTTCCAACCTTCATTCCTGAAATCCCACTCTGGTCTCTCGGTTAGTTTGTATTTCTGAGCAGCATTCAAAGTTACAGACAACATGAACAGAACTCCTGCAGCCCTCATCCTGAAGTTTGCACCCAGAAACACAGTTACATACTGTAAATGTCCACAACATGCAAAGTCTTCTCTCTGATATCATAAAACAGCAACAGATAAACCTCTTCTGCAGTAAACAAAATGTAGAAGACCTACCTGCAATAGGTCAGAATCTAAAGTAATCCAGTGTGGGCAGCTACAGAACAGATGGGCTGGAAGGGGGGGGGGTGTGGGGGAGGATCATATATCAGGATTTCACTTCAAAGTCAAACCTGTGCAGAATTTTCCTTCAGTACCTGTTTTCTATTAAGAGACCCATCCTGGCTCCTGGTTTCCACAGCGCCGAGAGGAGACGGCAGCTTTGAATGAACTCCCATCAACACTGAAGCTCAGTTCAACAATGGAAATGTGTGTGCGTGTGTGGCTGCGCTGAGCGATCTCAGCCGTCTGGGACCTTCGACAGGGGGTGTCTGATGCACATGCAACCTGAGGAGACCAACGTGCAGTGATGGGACTCACCCACTCTGGACTCCACCTGCCCTGCTCACTTGTAAAAAGGCCAAGTATTGTGTATTTATTCTTAGAGTGAGGACAATTCTAAAGTGAACATACCAGCACATATCATAGAGAATATGAAGGCCACTTTACATTTACACAGTGGCTCTGATGTGGCATTAACAGCTGTTCATGGTGATTCAACCATGTGGAAAATGCATGTAAAACAGGACAAAACCTTTCACCAAATCTCAAAAAATTATAAATCTTTTTGTAAATTACTTAAGTTAATGGTTGGTTGGTTGACGTGTACGTGATGATGAAAACCAGACTGAACTAAAGTCTTTGGAGACTAATGTTTACTCATGGCCAAGGTATGTGGACACATCAGACCTGCAGTCGTGGGCGTTAATCTGCACCCCCATGGATGAGGACAGATTCTGTCCCCTTTAGATGACCTCAAATAGCGACATCACCCTTGACCACAAAATTTCAGTGCTGCTCAGATTATAACTGACACGTTGTTGACTCAAATTTTGTACATGTTTTTCCTTCTTTGGAACTAAAGGTTTTTACCAACAAGTCCTCCAAACTAAACAACCCTCTGATACAAGCGTCTCCTATAATGGTGCTATATGTAGTCAGAAAACGTGCCACGGATAAAACTGCTGGAAAATAAAGAACCAACCTTTTACAAGGAGACAATACAAAGGGTTTACTCTGGTTCATGCAGACAAAGAACCTGATTACACTTATGGAAAGATCAGGATATGGGTTCAAGAATGTATTTTGTTAGTTATTAAACATGGGTACTGGATGATCGTTGATCAGTCACAGAGACAGGAAACAAAATGTTGGCCTCGTTATGAAGGCCAACATTTTGTCGACCCATCCGACCATAAGAAACAGCCCTAAAACGAAGGGGACAGGATGTCCAGATACTTTTGGCCATAAAGTCTAGGAGTGTTCACTAAAACTCTACAGTTCTCTAACCTTTGAGTTGTCTTTGTTGTGTTTTATTCTCCCTTTGATTTACATTACACTGCCATGTATGCCTGACTATGTTTTAATTAAGTAGAAATCCAACAAATCAATCATCTGCAACAGGAGTTCTTTGTTGTTGTTTTTTTTAATTTTGTTTCAAATCCAGGTCAACAGCACAGAAACGTTCAGGTCCTCAGCTCAGCGGAAAGTGAGGACGTGCTACAACTCCAAGAACATGCTCGCTGAGCAAACGGCCCCTGGACCAGTAGAAAAGGGAAGGGCCAGTGCCGCCTGCTAGCATGACATCAGCTAATTTTCCACACAGGGGAGTGAGAATGATTTTACCTGGCAGAAAAAAACAACCCTCCCCAAAAGCATTTTCATATTAATCTACAGCATAAATTCTCATTCCATCAAAGAAAGTACTGTCACACATCTACACAAAAATGTGCAGCCCCTGACTAACCCTGTCGACTGAAGGGGCCTGTGCCCCCCCCAACCCAAATGAAAATCTGCTGCAGTTAGTGATTTACTCGCTTCGCCGTTCAGATCTTTTCAGCAAAAAAGCCCATGAAACCACTTCATGCAACAGTGCACAAAGGTGTGAAAAAGAAAAATCCCAAACTTAACAAGGTAGTGGCAATGGTCAGAGCGGCCACTCGGCTTCAGTCACCCGGTCAGCAGCGAACATGTCGAGGATGTGGGTTAAAGATTTAACACCAGTTGGGACGGTTGATGAACGTGGTGAAGGTGCAGTTTGCAGCATCAGCACATTATTTGCTTTTTTAAAAGAACCAGTTTATATGAGCACCAGAAAAACTGCAAAGGCATTCAAGTCATGCAAAGTCCTTTTGGTCACATACCTCAAATACTACTACTTTTAAAACTACACACGCTTTCTAACGATCTTTAAGCTTCTGTATGTGAACATATTTACATGTGGACTAAAAACAGGTCCCTAGCCACCTGTGCGTGGACATCAGCGTGTGCTGCTGAATGATCATTTGGGTGGAGCAGCTCACTACCATTCTGCTGCTTGATGTTAATGATGTGCAACCAGAACTTTCACGACTTCAATGATCTCACAAGTTTTGGTCCCAATATCAGTCTCACTGTGGAAAATCCAAAAGAAACTGAAAGTGATCAAAGGAGCCTGTCTACCCGGCTACCCTGACATGCACACTGCTGACTTTAACGTGTTAAAGGGTTAGTTCACCACTATTTAAAACTAGTTTACCCATGGTGGTATCCACCCGTGCCTCGACTACATTCTGCCTATGAACAGTGTTCATAGAGCAGAAGTACATTTTTTAAATGCTTGGAGCATCACAAAAGAAAATTCCATTCAGCTCCACTGTGCTGGGTTGGAAGCAGAAATAAACTACCTGCATGTATAAATACAACTAAAGTACGTGAGAAAATGGATTTTTTTTTTTGTTTTTGGTGAAACTGACCCTTTAAGTGGCCTGCTGCCTTTTTAGTGCTTTCATGGAGAGCTCAGTGCTTTCACAGTTTTCAGGCTCAGCTGCTTTTACACCACTGACAAGTGCTGCTCTGCAGCTCTCAGTCTGAACACCATCCATGCCTCCTGCTGGAAGAAGCTCAGGCTTTTTGAGTGAAAGCACAGGGATAATCACTGGTCAAAGCAAACCAGCGTCATCCTGCTTGCACAGACCTCAGAGGAGCATCTTTCTCCCCTCACAGTGACCTGCAACCTCTAGCATGCCGAGCAACACATTCTGAGGGTGGAGTGATGGAAAAACCTGCAGGGGCCCATTAGCAAAGGAACCCTGGTTATGGTCTGGCTCCTTTGGACCAATAGCAGCAAGAAAACAGACGAAGAACACAAGTGGGGAGTGACGGAGAGGAGCATGGCGAGCACCAGCCGTTTCAAGAAGCACCTCACGGTTTATTCAGTACGAGTTAGTTACTAACGATGAGGATGATGGATGGCGGCATGGGGCAATTTATCAGAAACAGGGCATGTATGTGATAAATAAGCTACATGTTGTGCCTGATCAGGTGCAAACCATCAAATCCACAAACTACACTTTCAACAAACCAGTGAAGAATGTTTAGGAACCACTTTAAGATGGTGGGACATCGGTCCCAGTGTTAATAGTCACCAAAAACATGTTACTTTTGCAATTGGGAGAGGGTGTGTTATGGGGGAGCAGCTTTCTGCATCTGCCTTCTCAAACCCACGACTCATTCACAAACATTTTTAAAGTAAATTAACACTGAAAATATAAAGTTTTTTTTTTTACATAACATTTCTCTGTTCTCGTTTTCAGGTCTGAGCTTTGACCAATAATTGTACATGAAGGAGTCAAAAAGACCAAGACCTATAAAAACTAAACAGAGTCCATACTGAAGAATCAAACTTCTATGGTATCGCTACAATCAGGAAAAAATAAGAAGCTTAATTAAATAGTATCATTCCTCAAATGTGTTTACACAGCCAGATTCTCCAGAAGACATACTGAGAGGGGCACTGATGTGAGAGAGCATCCAGACACTCTGCTGCTGTCCAAAGCCACAGCAGGATGTATGGGAGCCATGTAGAGCTGATTATTGTGGGTCAGTGGGTTGCGTGAGGGGGTGGCACCGAGTCGAGGGAAAGCTAAAAGTGCTTTATTTAAACTGATGAGAGCCGCTGTGAAGAGGAATACAAAAGTCTGGTTTTACTTTATTTGATCACTGAATTCAGTGCATATCCCTGCACGGAACAGCGAGATGGGAAGGACAGGGGCTTCACTGTGAGGCGAAAAAACAGGTACTAGGCAGCCAAACCTCGCTGCTGGTCCTGGTGCAGTGATGTTGGGCTGGGGGAGATCAGAGCAGGGCATGGAAGCAGGGTGGAGGTGGAGGTTTTAACTGCGAGGCAGGCTGCACATTTCACAGTGCTCTGTGCCAGGCTGGTTCATGAAGGTGCAGTGGAGGCAGGACCACATGGCCGAGGAGGAGGCAGGAAGTGACGGGCCACCCATGGCCCCATAACCCAGAGAGCTGGAAGGCTGGCCACCCACTGTACCTGGGAAGACAGAGGGTTAAAGGTGGCCATAGAGGACAACCAACCTGTTGTGGCATTTAACTCTCTGCAAGAATGTGAAAAAGCACATTTCACAAAAAAGTTGAACTTTCCCTTTAAGACAAATGACGTGTCCAGCTGTAACCTACACAAGTTTCTGACTGCGATTGTCTTTATTAATAAAGCTTTGAGCTAATTAATTTGACTGACTGAGTGGTCCTATAAATAAATGTCCAGAACACAAAGACTTTCAGCTATGCTAAAACATCTCAGAATATTTAACACTCTGGTTCGATAAATGACTTGAGTAATGAACAGATTATCAAAACTGTTGTCAGTTTTCTGCTGATTAACTGATCGACTAAGTAGCAGCAGTTAATCACTTCAACAATACAGAAGTGATTTTAACTACTGCCCAAGGTTAACTTGGATCACGCCAACTGAAACCCAGGTTACATGACCGTGCCTTAACTGATCAGCATTGACTTACCACACAGCTGCTCGATGGTGGCCCACTGCTCCGACTTCTTCCAGGTCTGTGCCAGATCCTCATTAGAAGTCTTTACAGCATCTAGTAGGAGTCCGATGCTGTCCTGCAAAAACACACTGGGATTTATCCACTAGACAGAACCAGGAAACTGAAAAGAAAACCAAACACAAATCAGTCTGGGTTTTATAGAACACCTGCAGGTCCGAGCAGGTAGTTCATTATTAACTAAACACAGAAAAACAGTGGTTTTATCAAAGACTCTTGAGATGGTGTTGATGGGTCAGGAGCCAGTTTGAAAATCTATGAACAGAAACACAGCATCTGAGTGAAAGCATCCTCACAACAGTAACTACTTCCAGAGTGGAGAAGAATGTGGCCACAGTCTAAGCCAGTTTCTGCATTACATATGGAAAACAAATGGAAACCAGAAAAGACCAGGCTTTGAAAGAAAGTGTGGACTCACTCTCAGAGGCATGACCTCATTAGTGACGAGGAAGAGGAGCAGATGGCAGGTATGTTGCTAAACTGTGGAAATCCTGCACACACACAAAAACACAACACAAGATGTGGCCTGTGGAGATTACAGACTCCAAAGGTCAGCCTAAATTTCTAAGGCGCTCCGATGTGACTGGTCATGTCAGGTTGAAATACAGCAGAGATAAAACCTGATGTGGTCTGAAGAAAGTATGACAAGCAAAGTGTTTGCAGCTGCTGTAACTATGAGCCAAGGAGCCTTTGCAGCCAACATCCACAATAATTACAATATTCTGTGGCCAAAACATCCGATGAGTCTGAAAGCGTCTGTGAAACGCGCAAGAACAAAAATGTTCTCTGAAGTGTCCCAAGACTGAGCCGAGTTTTGCTAACTGAAGGGAAAACATCTGTGATTTTCTGTTTGTTATTTTCCAGCTTCTCGTGTTCTCAGCTCACAGAGCTAGCAGAGATCAGCTGACTCTTTCTTAATGGGTGTTCAAGGGGTTGCAGAGGGAGTGTCACAGGCATGTACAATACAACACATGTGGCTTCATTCACATTTCCAGGCACGAGCTTCCATTATGCTGGCTAGCCATGTTGCTAACGCACTCTATGTTAGCACCAATTTCTACCACCATGTCGGCATGGATAGATAGAAAACACCGTTTAATAACTAATAAAAACTCATGGTGTGGTGTTTGAGAGTGAATACCAGTGAACGGTCACAATAACCGCAGTAACATGATAAACAAGTCTTCTTCGCCCCCATTCACACCATCCCCCATTACGTCAACGCAGTGCCTTGGTGGACGATGTCATCGTGTGGTGCAGAAAAGGTTGAACTAGACCCAACTTTTTTGCTGCACAAGGCTACGTTGTTTTGCCAGAACACCCTGTGATACTGGAGCCGGTTGTAATGAACACAGTAGCCTATAAAAATGAATGGAGAGGTGTACGTTTTTTTTCCACGTTTGAAACTGATTGAATGCATCCTTACTTCAGAGATTGCCGTTCTTAGCATTTGCAGCGATTTGCAGATTTGTCAGCCAGTGCAGCGGTGTGGCTCACTAGGGTGTTTTTAATAGCTGCTGGACAATATTGGAGGTCTACGGCACAGACCAATGAGCTAAACCAGGGTCTGGACTCAAACATAGGACAATGCATATACCACATTCATTGTTGATAGTCTCTGGGTGGGATTTTTGCAAAATAACAAAAACATAGAAAATGACCAGCCTGACCCTTTAAGCTCCAGTTTGAGAACAGGATGGTAAAGATAGTGAACTGCTGACACTACCCAGAAATGTTTGACTTTCTATTTTTACATGTTTGAACCAAACATAGCACAGTATAAGAGATGCAGAGGAGTCTGTCTAGACATCGCTTACTTGTGTCTCTCCAAGGATATCATGGTTCTCAATAGGAAATCGTTGTGTGGAGCAGAAGGTGTACTGAGGATCCTTTGGAAAAGTGGTAGTAATCTGTAAACAAACAAACAAACAAACAGGAAATTAGGTTGAAAGGCAGACACAGCAAGACCAAGTGCTGCCTCGGTACACAAAGTACATGTGCTCAGCATGGATCTACTCACATCTATGATAAGGTACTCCACAGGAAGAGGCCGGGCTAGAAACGTGACATCATTTCCAAATTTGTCTTTGTCCTGTTGGATACAGAGGCAGTCGAACAAAAATCTCAACATCTAGATCAAAAATTCTGGCTGAATCGATTAATAATACCTAAAAACCAAGTCAATATCTATCAGTAATTATTCTGTTCAGAAGTAGTACAGTCATTCGTCAGTCTATGTATTCTCAAAAAGATAAACCATCATATATTACGCACAGTTACACTGCAGTACAAATGCTGCTACATGTATGAAGTGTTACCTTGTAGAAGACGTCCGGTACGTACTGCTCAGGGCTGGACTCTTTAGCATAGCCCAGCTCAGGAGCATCTTTGCAGGGCAGAAGGCACTCGTCTCTCACCAGAGCCATGCACTGATTGGACACCTGGTATCCTTCAAAGTGCACCTGGTTATCTGGACCGCCTGCACACAGAGAGCACACAGATATACAGTTTATTTCTTTGACTACTAGTTGCTTAGTGGAGCTACATTATACCTGTGATTTTTGACCCAAAGTACTGGAGCTGTGATGATATAAGAGAAGCAAGGCTTCATCTGAGAAGCTGGAATGAGAAAACCTTTCTACTAGGACTTGACTGCATGAATTTATTAGTTATTAACAAGGTCATTCATCAGCTTTCTGTCAATCAACTAAGATTTGCTTTCCAACAAAACCAGGCTGGCTTTAAAATGACTTCTGCAGTCAGACCCTATTAGTATGGTACCAGCAATACAGAGTCAGTCATAAAGTGTAAAAATACATCAAACATACCAACAAAGAAGACTACACTACAGTAATATTTTCAAACTGTTAAAGTCTGTCTCATTGTGATGTGCTCATCATTGTCTAAAGCCTCTTCAGCTTTACACATGTAACTCATTTGCAAAGAGACATCTTCACATAAGGGAAAGCCAAACAGATGCACTGTGCCCTGTCTGGCTGAGGATGTGTAGTCACGACATGGTAAACTGGCCTCATTATTGCAATCAAGGTCAGGGCTGCATTTTGTGCTTTCCTGGAACTGAAGGTCTTGTTAGTTTGTAACGGAAGGACATAGAAACATCAGGTCTTAATCCCTGTGGTCTCAGGAAGCATGTGGCTCGTATCACAGGACCAAATTCATGGAGATACCATGATAGGAATTAAACACTACAAAGAACAGGCAACTTCCCAAACTTGATCACTAACAAAGGAAATACATCTGTAACAAGGAAGCAACTAGGTGGTGAATAAGAGGTGAAATTCCTTTTGCAATGACATATGACTGAGCTTAAAGCTACACTGTAAACAAAACATTTCTGCTTTTTTTAAAGGCGATAAACAAATTTTAACTTCCTACTCCGTGCCATCTGTGACATAAAAAAAACAAATAAATGTGGAAATGGAAACATTTATATCTCCCCTAATGTCCTGTTTTAGATGTAAAGTCAACACTTTAGATGTAATGATACTGCATTTTACTGTCAAACCTATGGCTTCAGTCCAGTAAAAAGGATTTTTTTTAAAGAGTAAACAGTGTTCGTTCAAGCATTTATTTGTACCACATGGCAAGACCTTGACAAGAATTCTACCATCAGTAGGAGTAGAAATAGAAGTTATTTTCAGCCCTCGTGTCAGTCTGAGAATGAACAAATCATACCTGTTGCCACCACAGTCACAAATTTGGAGCCAAAATGTCCGTCTCGAGAAAGTCTGCAGGGGTTTGCATGTTGATTCTGGAAGTATCCCGCTGTGATGCACTCCTCTGCACTCAGGTAGTGTGAGTCCTAACACAAGTGAGGACAATGAGAAAACATGGAGGAGAGCAGCACAGTGGTCTGATGAACACATCAGCTGTGTCCTCACCTTGTTTCTTGTGTAGCGGACGGTGCCTATCCTCATATCCTCTGAGAGCAGATCAGTGAAGATCCACCCCACCTACAACACAAAAAAACAGGTAAGTAGAGCTGGAATAAGTAGTCAATTAATTTTGCTTACTGATTAATTTATTCGAGCAAAAATGCATCATTGTCATCAGACATTTTATAGGTCACATCATCAATTGTGCCAGTAATTAGAGACTTAAAGACAAACAACACAATTAACATAGAAAATGATCAGCATTATCCTTTAATAACTGTTAGCTGCAGCCTTAAAAAAAACTGAAATCATTTAAATCTACACATCACTAAGAGAACACCTAAAAAACGTACAGCCACTGAACCAAGATCAGAAGAAGTTAATGCTGCTCACAATCAGCAGCACATTCCTGCACGCAGGGCAAGGCCCATTGATCTTTCTGATTAAAAAGCACATTTATGCTGTGTGACCTATGATATAGATTTATGGCAAGGCTGATATATAGAAAGTCTCAGTGCTATTACTCCCAGAAGTTTCAGGATACTAGGGGACGATATTCTGGAAAAAACAGTTTCAGATTTACCCACCACCAAGTCATGTTTAACAAACCAGTGTGAAGTGGTTTGTTTTGCTGAAAATACTCTGGCTGGAATGGTTAAATTCTTTGATGAACTGAAAATCAATTCCTGTTCCAAAAGCTTCAATAACTGTCAAAACATTGACAGGGATTCAAAGGACCACAGTATCACATGGAGCAGCAAGGAGGAAAGAAGGCCAACCTTGCATAGGCCCAGTTTTGCAGCAATTTCATCCACAGCTGCAGCTTTGGGATCCTCTATCAGTTCCAGACTGTTCTGGGTGGCATTCTGAAACACAGCGGAGAGGACAGCAAAACTCAAATAGCATCACTGAGATGAGAGGCTACATTACAAATCATGGACGTTTATACAAGTGTGAAAAATATTCCCAATCTGAGATTCTACTAAACATTACTAAACAAGCAAGTGAGACAAGCGGAGAAGAGGACATAATTACTGGGAATCTCTTACCTGTGGTGGCTCGTAGATGGCAGCCACCTCGGCTCTGATGCCCAGAGGGATGTCTTTGTGCTCAGTGTACCTGCCGTACAAGTACCCCATCCTCTGACTGCCAGTCTTCCTCCAGAAGTCCAGGAAACGGTCAGCAATGGTGTGGTTCTCAAACATGATGTTGTCCACATGTCTGTATTTCTGGGAGAACAACAGAAAGAACTACATTCATGCAATGCTAACTGGGACATGGCCAAACAGTTATGTGATTTTATTTCAATCACATGTCTACATGTTGAAGTGTCTTGTGCAAGATGGTAGTTTGATGTTTGTAAAATGTGTGTGACTGGGTGAATGAGAGGCAAACTGTAGAGTGCTGTGGATAAAAGTGCTATATACAGTGTTGGATGGTATCTACAGTCAGACACTGCGATGGATGATGACATAATGGCGGGCAGGAGGGACAGCAACAAACAGCACCAGCTACAAACGTGACACTACTACATGAATGATTTCTACACTGAGCTTTGCTTACGAGTGTTGAGAGAGTAACTCGCACTGCTGTGCCCCAGCAGTTAACGCAGGGCGGTGCTGATATACGTCGTCGTACCAAAATATGTACTGTAACTACACCCACTCTTCTACTTTGACTTGGGGTTTTAATGGCAGTTATCGGTTCTACAGCTCAAAATTATCCTGGGAGAAATCTCCTCAAGTAAGTAATAAATATATTTTTCTATGTTCTGGCAGAGGCAGGAATTATATGAGCATGTGAGGCTTCAAATCATGATGCATTGGCCCAACCCCAGCTATATAAATGCAAAAATTTACTATTTCAATCATTTCAGAGGGAGGTAAAATCACGCTCACGCACACACACACACACACACACACACACACAATAAGCTTATGTCCCTTATATCCCTATCTATGGCACATCCACTAACACCACATTTGAAGACAATGAAATCATGCATACATATCAGGTGAAAGACTGAATGCCTCTCAAAAGGGAAGTGTGCCTTGTTTGAAAGTGCTGCTGGCCTGACAAGCATGAAACACCAAGCACGACTCTTGAACACTCCTTGTTACTGGCTGCTTGAAATGGCCATCAGCTCTACTGTTGCACTCACTGAAAGCTGTACTGCCAAAGACACATTATCTTCTGTAGGTGTGGTCACATACCTGTCTGTTCAGTGTGATGGCACTGGGCTGGCACTTGGTGCAGATCCCTTCCGGCCAGGGAGGGTGACCCTCACAGCCCGACTTGATCTTACAGCTGATGTTCTCCAGAGCTGCAAACTTCCCTCTGCAGGAGGTGACAACAGGGTTAGAATCTGACAATTAGACTACGAGTGTTAAAATTAACATTAATAAATTAACTTCTCACTTATCAGCTCCACCAGTCAGCTTGCGAAGGTATGCATGGAATGACATGTGCTTCACTGGTGGGTCAAGGTGATTCAGGTAGTCTTCGTCAAAAGGCTGGAAATGAAAGAAGCCAAATGCTTAAAACATAAATATATAAACTGTCTCTCAGTAGCGGTGCTTCCACTACCATTCTGTAGGGCATAACCACAAACAAGAATGAGGTCTCTTACCTCTAATGGTACACAATGCACACATTTTCCAAGGGCACCGTGGCGACATCTGTAAGAAGAAGGGGGTTGTTAGGGATCTGGATTTAAATACAAATCTTTGGGAGAGAAAAAGAGTTCACTGTTTGTACAACATGTCTCTTACAGCTGTGGATCTTTGTTCCTGTAGATCTTGCCATCCTGCTTGGCCAAATACTGATCGATCTCATCTTCCTGGACCTGGGGTGCGGATGAGGACCGGGGGATGATGTAGGATGACAAAGAGGATGAAGATGATGATGAGACAGATGGCAGTAATGATGATGTGTGTGGGGTGGCTGTGTCCATCACCTCTCCAAGGGAGGTAGAGGATCCTGAAGGAAACAGAAAGAGCATGTCGCCATGCCTCCAAAAAATAAAGAGAAATTAGATTAAAGCTGTGGTTTGTAAGAGAATAAAGCCAAAAATAACAAGTAGAGAGAAGCGCTGACTATTTACTACATATACACCTGTTAATCCACATGGAATAAGAGCAATTTAAATGGAAGTAACTTTTCCTAAATTATTGTAAGAATATCATTTTGTCCCATTAATGTATAAATCAGTCACTTTGTGGATAAAAATATTCCATAGTTGTCAGTACATTTAACCCAAATATTCTCTGAAACAAAGTTCTCATGATAACAAGAGTGATACACATGTTAAATTTACAGAGCAATATTTAGCGTTTTGTTCTTTTTGGTAGCAACAGGCAGGTTTTTATTCTGTGTCTCCTAGCAGCCACACTTCATTCGATTCAACATAACAAAAGACTACCAGGTGCATCTTTTTAACGACTCAAAACTTAATTTGAAGATTAGACAGATCTACCAGACTCAAAACTTAATTTGAAGATTAGACCTATTCTCATTTCTGGAACTGATCGTCAATGAGCTGTCAATCAAAATCCCACTAATGGTCAACACTGCTCCCTTGTACTCACTTGATCTTAAGCAGGCTGAGGGTTTTGTTCTGGGAAACGATCTCCCCGGTCTTGTTGCGGTTCAGGTAAACAGAAAACCCATTGGAATTGAACCCAAACTCTTTGGCCACCTGTGGGAGAAGTAGATGTAGTGTGCTGATTAGAGTGGCCAACAAACCTGTGTCATATAAACCAAATACCATCAGCTTTCTCCACCATGGCATGCATTTGGCACTGAGAAGACCAAAATAAACAGTATCTTAAATTAGTCTCAGGATATTTGCTCTTCCACTCTAGGAAACTAAATCAGCACGTGCCATGAAAAAGCAGCACATGTAAAGCAGATTAGCACCATAGATGTAGGAACATTGCTTACGTTTGCTGCAGTCAGCAACTAGGCTATTAAGATCACTCCAAGCTGGAGGGCCAACAGAGTACACCATGGTACTTTTATAATCACATCACATGTCAGGTAGAGACTCAGCCTGATGCTGATGATTTGCTTGGACTACATCACTTGGGGTTTACTTAAGTTCCACATCCATTAGATAACTTGTGCATAGTGTTGTTGACACAACAGGACAGCTGTCTTGGCAAGAAAAATAAATTCACAATAACACTTGGAACAGAATAAAGACCAAGATGGCTGCATCAATCCCATTAAAACCAGTGACTTTATAGGCCATTTCAAAGTAAACAAATCAAACAAAACATTGTGCAATAGCCGGCATCAGTTATAAAATCAAATCAAGCTTTATTTATATAGAATCTTTCATGTGGGTTCATGCAATTTGAAGTTTTACAGCTTTACAGAGAGATGACAATAAGGCAATTATGTAAAAAAAGAAGAATATTTTTATGTAAAATATTCACCAAAAAGATAGCATTAAAACGAATAAAAACTAGAAAAAAAAAAATAACATGATGTGATTACAAATAAAATACATACAAAGGAATAATACTGTCTCTTTTTACTTACATACAAGGACAGTCTTTCTAAAACTAAGTAAAGAGAAGTATGAAGCACTGAGGTTCTTTAAACATAAAATCATTTTTTCCTCAAGGTACTCAGATGTTGACAGTGTAGGATGTTATCACTGTACACTGTCAAACTGTATGAGACAACATCATCTCAAGCTCAAAGCCTTTACTGTCTCAGCTGCAGAATTACAACCTGCAGGGCTCAGGCTGTCTATGCTCTGTCTATTCCACCCATCACTGACTATGCATGAGGATGGAATTAAAACTATTCCTTACACTGATCCACAGGAAACACAATCCTGTATTAACAAATACGTGCATTTTTAATGAGCTGTGGTGCTCTGCTGTGCCCAGTCTGCAGGACTATTCTTCTATTTTAGCTGACAAATGTTTCTGTAATCATTTTTGTGTGCTTATGTGCGATGGGAGACCTGATGGAACTAAACAAATACATAATTACACTTAAAAACATCCAAATTAAACATCACATTTACTCATTTACTCTGGGTTCATTGTCCCCTATAATAATCTGTGTGGCATGGCATGGAATAAATCCTCATTTGAAAACCACAACTAATCAAGCAGCTGTGATGTCAAGTGTGCAAAGCAATCCATCACTACACTTCAGTGGAAGCCAGTCACTGACTTGTTTATATAAAGAAACCTGTTATAGTACTCATCCAATAAATACTGCACACTGTGCAATCTGCACCCTTGCACTAGCCTATTCTGTTGGACTTGTACTGTATATAGGCACTGGATGTTGCTGTTACTGTACAATGTTGCTTTTTAAATACAATATATACATATCTATTGTTTCAGCTACCTCTATGTACGTAGTAGTTAAATATTCATACATTCCCATCTTCATCCAGCTTTGTTGTCCTCTTCATTAGCTGTATGTGTATTACTATGTATTCTCTGAAGTTTGTTTTTGGAGTAAGTTCTTTGAAAGCAACTACAACAGCAGTCATATTTAATGTCTGTGTACAGATGTTTTAAAAAAAATCAATGTGACTTGTGAAGCTGACTTATTCTGGTAAGTTTACATATATTACCTTCTTTAAAAAAGCAGCAGTTGTCTCCCTTTTGGTGGAAGGAATTTTCTTCATCCCATTTGGGGACTGTACCCTGATGATCTAATGAGACAAAAACAAAACAAAACAGAGAAAATGAAACACCACACATACAATGCTTTCAGCAGTCTGGAAAAGACCATTGTTAGACAAAAATGACAGGAACCCAAAACTCTTTAAAAATGACATTCCAACACCTGTCAGTCAAAACAACGACGCTATCCCCCACCCCCTGTGGTATCAGTGTCAGGGCATTAGGACAACAATGACAGTGCAGAAAAGTATTGTTACCGTTTGATTTTAAACAAAGGGCTTTTATATCATGATTTGAGAATCCAGACTTTGAACTTGTCATCGTTAACTAAAGCCGTGACACTGTGAAATTGAAGTCAACAAAAGATTACTTTTTGTGAATCAGCAACATCTTGGCTTCCATTACTTCCACCGAGCATATTCTAGCTATTGTTTGGTTAATGAGTTGAATATGCTGAAGAAAATCCCAGACATTTTTGTTCTTCAATTGTGCCAGTTATGTAGCTTTCCTGTTGGCCAACAAAGCCTCTTCTTCTTATTCAGACGTTGTCAGTTAGCCAGAGAGCTAACATTAGCCGGTAAGCTAAACAGGCCCCAGTCATTTTTTGCTAATGCTAGCCAGCTAACGTTAGCTACCAGGCTAATTCTGCTGCCTCATCACTCCGGACTTCTAAAGCTAAGAAGCTAGCTAACGTTAGCCAACTCGACCTCTCTCACTGTCGTTAATACAAACTTCAGTTGTACTTACAATATTATCTGCCATGATGTTCGGGTGAGTGCTCCCGATAGATATCACCGTGTTAATAGACAGACACACTAAATACAAAATTCACGTAGCGTTTATGTCTGTATGTCAACGAAACTCCATCCCACAACTGAAACACCGGGTGTTGCACACATTAGTGCCCGACCGTTACTCATCGGTCCCACACCAAAGCTACCACAACCTAAACAAGCTTTTGATTTTGCGGAAAACAAACGTTCCCATTTTTCTTTTAATTGCAGTGGTAAGATATGCTTTACTACAGATGACTCCGCTAATGTGAAATTATGGCAGAGTGATTTAAAAAATGAATTTAAACTGGGGAAATAGTTCAATATCTTAAAGAAGCAATATGGAAGATATTACATAGGCAAGATATTATCATATAGTTTATTGGCCCAGAGTCGATAAAACTCCACTAAGGAAACTGATGAAGGTGAATTTGGTTTTAGATTGGAACCTCCAACTTGTATGTATAAAATGGAAACAGGAACTTTTCTATATTATATATGTACATGATATGGATTAATGGGGCCATTGTGAGCCAAGTTGTGGAAGTCCTGAGTTGTTGTTTGGTTCAGCAATCCCTCTGACGCCTGTTTGTCTTAAGGGACCAAAATCTAACAAAAAATGCATTTTCAATATGATTACAGCCTCCATAATTATTTTTTATTATCTTGATTTGTCAGTAAGTCAATTGGTCAACAAAATGTCAGAAAATACAAGACAGAAACTTAAAATTGTTCACATTTGAGAAGTTAAAACCAGAGAATTTGGACATTCATTTTCAGTAATATATTATTGATTATAATGATTATCATAATCATTGCAGATAATTTTTCTGTTGATTGACTGTTGCAACTCTATATTTAGTATGTGCTTTTCTGTTCTTAAAGGCTGCAACACGGTTACAATTATTAGTTTGACGTACTTGAATATAATTAACACCAAATGCCTGAATGCTGGCTCCAGCCCCCCGTGACCCCGTTTGGAACTAAGTGCTTTAGAAACTGGATGGATGGATGGATGGATGGATGCCTGAATGCCTGTTTTTTTCCATTGATAATCACAACTTCAAAATAAAGATTGATCAATCACTCAAAATCATAATCTGAGTAACAATTGTGATTAAAATAATCATCATTGTTCTTTTTCTATTTTTATGCTTTTTTTTAAACTCATCTTTTAGAGAGGGCAATGCTCCATCACACGTCTCTTCAGATCTGGGCCTGTACTGAAACAAGCCCACTCATCCGTCTGCTACCTTTCACTACAACAATGCAGCCATTGGAAACATCATTCATTTGAGGAAAGAACTCACCAACTCAACCACCACTCTTCTCGATTAACAGTGGTATGAAAGAAGAACACTGAACAATGGATGGAAGATGAAAGACAACGAGGAAAATGTAAAATGTCTTATTCTACACAAAAACAATAAACTAGTGCTAAATTAATGAGGTTTAAAACACAAATATAAACACACGGGGCATAAACATGCAGAGAACATGAAGGACATACAGTATTTTCACATAAATTAATATTAACACAAGGAAGATACACAGGCAAACACAAGTATGGATATTTGTCTATATGGCTAAGATTAGCTGACAAAGTGGGCAAATGATGAACATTACTACCCTGCCAAATCACATATTGGTGCATTGCCAGGAAGGAATTCTGTTTCCTGGACATTTATTCTGAAATGGATATAAAGTGAATTCTTTCTTAATTTTTACTATTAAAAATAAGGTCAAAGGTCATGTTTTTCAAGACTTTATCCTTAAGTACTGTATATACTTAAATGTATGAAACAAGAAGATTTCCACATACTATGATGGTAGAAACTTTAGAGAAATATCAATAAATAAAATGGTGAGCAAAATCTATATATCCAGATGAAGACGAGTTCGGTTAAAGGTCAAAACAGAAGGAAACGAGTTATACCTGATGATAATTGCAATTATAATAGATAGATAATAGATAACTGCACTGAAGCACATGAAATGAGAACCCGCCCACTTCTCAGGTTTGTCACTTTAACTCAATTTTAGGCTGCCTTGCTTGAATAAGTTTCATGTTTTCTCCAGGAGAAGAAAAGAAAAGAAGAGGAAAGGAGAAAACCGTAGCAGAGCTAGAGAAGAGAAACATAACAGGGCAGATTTAATGAAATCATGAGAATCAAAACAATAGATCCTAAACAGAAGCAGATGTTGTGCATGAGCTTCAGAATCAGAAGAGGATTCCAGCATAAGAGGACAAAGTTGTTGGGGTTTTTTTTGTAATTTTTTTCATTTTCCATTTTTTTGTATTTCGTACAGTTCACTCTGGTTGTTTGTCTGGAATAGCTCCACTGAAAGCTGGGAGAGGGAGCCTGAGGCAGATGGTCTGCAGTGCGTGAACATGGCTTGTAATCCTCAGAGGATTGCAGGATGATGCAGGAAGATTCAGATGATGCCATACTGGGCCAGCTCATGCAGCTCCAGGTGACTGAAGGCCTCCCAGGGACAAATGACAGTGATGTCTGAAAAGCAAGACGGAGATGTGAGGTTCCTCAGGAACCGGCAGATTATAGAAACTGCTATGAGGGCCGTTTTAATACCTGAACTCACCTGTGCCTAAGCCCTCCATTCCAGGGATATCATCACCAAAGCTGCAAAGCAAAACAAACCAATTACACACAATAACTTGCAATTATTTCCAGCACTTTAAAGAAAAACTGTGCATACTGTGGTGGCCTGTAGTCCTCTACGCTGTGGTGTGCTGGGCAGGAGGTAGCACGGACAAAGACAGGAAGAAACTTAACACATGGTTAAGAGAGTAAGAGAGTTGGCTCTGTCCTGGGCTGCCCTCTGGATTCCATCAAGGAAGTCGCAGATAGGAGGATGTTGGTAAAATTAACATCCATCATGCATAATCCCTCCCAACCCCTGCACCACATTGTGGAGGCTCTGAGGAGCTCCTTTAGCACAAGACTGTTACATCTTCAGTACAGGAAGGAGCGCTATCGTAGATCGTTTCTCCCCACAGCTGTGGGGACTGTATAATGCATCATTGTAGTGATACATAAGGTGTAGTTATAAGGGGACTGTGAAATAGTTAACTGAATGTGTTTATGCTCATATATTTCAATGGTAATGCACTGGAAATATGCATACATGCAATATTTTTTTTTATCTCTTTACTTGGTTATAGTTGATTTGTCTTCATAGTTTTTGTGGTGTGTGTTGTTGTTTGGTGCTTGTTTTTTCCTTTGTTGCTGCTGGGGCACAGGAATTCCCCCATTGTGGGATTAATAAGGTTTTATCTTATCTTATCATTTAAGTTACCCCTGGACTCCTTTCTTTGGAGGCTTGCTCTTGAACTGACGGGTCTGCCTCTGCTTGAACTTGGGTGGGCCTTTGCGTGGCGTGGCAGGGCCTCCACTGACACGGGTGGCCGACTTGATCTCAGCTTTGGGCGGCTCAAGGTTCATTTTGAGCAGCTATGATGTGCAGGCTGTTTGACACACCTCTATGAAGATGAGTTGCCGGGTGATATCTTTGTCTTGTGGGAACAAGAAAGGAGTCAGATAATTCATCCAAGTCAATGTATCATTTCAAAAACCAGATGGGTCGCTTTCACCAGTTTATTATCTGTTAATCTCACTTACATGCAGCAGGGTGTTATCTAGGATACTCTGTTTAATGATTAATTTCATTGACACTGAGTGAACATCTTCTGTCACCTCTGCCTGGCATTACAAGTTTTAAACCTCTTACTGATCCAACCAGCCCCAGGTCAGTCACAATACACTCATATTTCCTAATGACTGATTGTCTGAGACAAACTACTGTGCAGCCTGCTCTGTGTGGATGACCCAATTTCCCATAATCCCTGGCTCAAGAATAAGTACTCCCCCTCTCTGTTTCAAGTCGGACGTCCACACGTGATCTTGTTAGAGCAAGGGCAGCACAGCAGATCTGCTGAGCAAACACTGAGGGTCTCAGGAATCAATCTGCCCAGTGAGAATGACAGTCTGAGCAGGTCTTAACCATTAATGTGGTTATAGTGCTTTGATAGCAGAACCGATGTGCAAGATTTAGCTATCATATAACTTAATTCATTCAAAGAATATTGTATAGCTAGAGTGTACAGTAGCAAATCAAAACAGAGCTTGACAAAAGTTCACATATGTATATGCTATACATACTATATGTATTTTTTCTAACTGTTGTTTTACTTGATTGAAGATGAAGATGAAGATGCTGAAATAAAAAGTTATAAGTTCTATATTGACTGTAAGCTGCATTCTTGAGCTTAATATATAAGACTAGGTGTCAAACCTAAAAACCTTCTGGTACCAACCAAAATGCATCCAAAATACATGATGTACCAAGACATGCCTCAAATGCTTGTTCGATTTTTCTTGTTTAATTTCTCTTTTCATTTATTATTATTATTTTATTTAACTGTTTGTCTTTAGACAACACTATTCAAGGACTTTGGATCTTTTAGTTAAATGGAAAACTATACTTGTGTTCTCAAGTAAGATACTGAAAAGGCATCTTTATTGTTTTCATACTGGTACAGAAACTTGGGTATCAGGCATTAGTACTGAAAAATAGAATTCAAATGCAGACTTATTTAGCAGGCTGGACTGAGACTCTTCTTCCAGAAAACCATCTACAGCAGACCTGCCTGATACTGTAAATGTTCCACAATGGTACAAAGGAGAACAAACCATCTAATGAATAAGTAAACCAAAAGCCATGTCATTGACTCACTGCATCATTTTTATTTTCCAAAAAATGTCATCTAGTGTCAATGAATTAAACTGAATCTGTTACAATTTAATTCTGTCTGTCTTTATGGCACTATTGCTTAAGGCCTAATGGAGGTCAAGGGACTCAAACTGTCTATGTTCTCACTGTGTACAAGATATGAAGTGGTGATTTATTCTCATGTTTAATCTCATTATGATCAGCTAAAACTTCAAAGGAAAGTGTAGCAAAATGCTATTAATGCTTTCAATTCTTTTGAAAATCCCTGTTTTATTTTACCTTTATTTGAAACTCAATGTTCTTTTAAGATCTATATCTCCTTTTCATATGACCTTCATTTAAGAACAAAATTAATTTTTTTATATTTCCATCTTTTCAGTTCAACTTGTCATTTCAGCTCAAAAAATAGTGATACAGTAACATTATCCCTGATATCCACCAAGTCCCATGAGGCTCGACAACAGACAGGAAGAATACCGCCACCACCATCACCACCATCACCACCATGTTAGAGCCTAACTATCCCATTAGGACAGTGGGTCTACTCACCGGCTGCCTGGGTGAAGGGTGCGTGGGTGTGAGAGCAGCACTGGTCTCGAGCAGATGAGTGGAGTTCTTGCTTGGCTGGCTGTGAGGGCCCTTCTTATATTCTGAGCCCCACAGATGATTATGAACGCACCACCTCCCTGCTCTAATGTCAGCACTTCACATGTGACGTACACTTTGTCATTATGTAGCTTACAATAACATTGTATACAGCTACTGTATATGGGTTTCCAAAAAATCTGCAACTTGAAAACTTATAATGTACCTCTTCTGTTGTCAAGTATTACACAGTTTGATAGTTTTTGTGATGAAACTAATGATGTAAACTGTTCATTTTGTTTGAAATATGCAGAGAATCATATACTGTACTACTGGCATAAGAAGTACTCAGATAATTTACTTAAGTTAAAGTAGCAAAACCATAGTTTAAAAATATTTCCACCAGTGCACTGTACACTATTGTAACGCACATAAAATTCTAAAGCAATGTAAATCAAACCAGAGACAAAAGTACGTGAGATAATACCAGGAAGCTTCCTGAAACTCACCCTTTGAAATCTGTTATGCAGCTGTCTCAGGCAAAACCCTTCAATGCTCCTTTTTGCAGAAGTCCCACCTTCATGGTCATTCTAGTTCCCTGTAGTGATGGTCAGAGGTTACACTGGACACAGCTACACCCCACATAACAGAAAACAATCACTGTACCGCTAATGAAGGCTATTTATTAAATAACTCAGGTGGATGTAATAGCAGATGAAGTTGCCAGTTGTGGAATTGCATTTCAGAGCACTTTAAAGCTCCAGAACAGCTACTGTAATCTGGCCTGCAAGTAGAACCCTTCAATCATGCATCAAAATTTCATCTAGATTCATTGTAAATTTAAATTTTACACTTTTAAAATGTCAAACTTTACATTTAGAAATGGTTAGCATATCATTTCAGTTAGTGCAACCTTTAACTGATCACAGCTACTTCTTGAATATACTAAAAGCTTTGGTGTTGTCTGAAAACTATTCCCAAAGTAAACACAGTGACAACATTCCAAACCATTCCTGAAAAGGAACTCAAGAAATGCATCATGATGAAATAAACAAATTAAAAGGATCAGTCAAAATATTTTATTCTCATGAACAGATAGTTTTATGTGTATCTAGCACCCTCTAGTGGCCGTTCCTGCAAACTTATCAAAGCTGGTTGAGTCTGCTCAAAAAGAACATAAATTTAATCAGCAACACTTAACAATTTCAAATAGATAATTTAAATATACTGTTAAATACTGTAAAACAAATGATCATTAAACACAAAAATATGCTTTTAGTTCCACCTTCAAACAAACTGATCAAAATGAAAAATGTGCAAATACATTTTATAACTATAAGAACATGACAATTGATGAATTTGCCAGATCACTAGAATAGAGTAATAATAAAGAGAATTCTCATGTTAAAAGAGCATGCCACCGATTTAGTGCCACATGCAATCCAACTTGATTAAGCTGTACCTTCAAATAAAGTTGCTGAGCTAATCTGATAAACTGTTGGTTTGTTTTCAACCGGTCTTATGGTTTGACTGCTCCTGTTTCTTGCTGTAGTCCCCATATCTCAGCATTTTCCATTTTCTTCATATGTAAACTGTGCGACCCACAGGAGAAAGGGACAATGTGGAGATTAAATCGGTGACTGGAGTGTGTTATAATGTGCTTACAGTTTAACATAAGAATTCCCATAATTCTGTGGTCAGGGCCACTGGCAGTAAATACATCAGTCACTTTTTCAAGAGTCTAATCTCCAACATCAGGTAGGTTTTAAGGTTCTCATCAGGGACATTCTCCTCAATAGCGGCGAGCGAGTGTTCACCTCCATCATGATAGTATGCCAGCAGCTGCTCTGCATATTCGATCCACACACAGAAGTGGGTGGGAGCAGGCGGTGGACCCTGGTCAGGAGACCAGGCTGAGGTAGTGTGACTGGGTTGTGGTTCAGTGCACTCAGAGGAGTCAGTTAATGTAGTGGGAGGAGGGGAGCCGGGTCCAGTAGACAGGCAGCGAAAGGTCCCGATGTGTCCCCCTCTTCTCCTAGACAGCTGATAGCAGGCATGGAAACCATGTCTCAGGTACAGCAGGGATAGGATGCACAGCTGGAAGACAACAGAATAATACTGTGGTCAGCCAAAACGAGAGTAGAATTAAAACTTTATAATATACAGTATAAAATGTCACAAAATAACAATTAACCACCCAAAGCTCCGAGATTCAGTTCTCTGATATAAATCATCTAATTTGAAAACCAGAGAGCGAGTTCCATTTTCGTAAATTTAAATGCGCCTTTAATGATCAAAATTCATGTTCGTGTTCTCATGTTCTGACATTTTCTTTTCAGCTGATGGTAGAGAAGACAGCACACTACAGAAATAAGAAATCTGGGCAGCTTGTTCTGTGTAAACTTGGAATTTGTACTTAAGGAACACTGGGGAAGAAGATACGGTACAGGATGAGGACAACGTTCAGAAACACAAATTGGCACAGATTTTAGACACTGATGAATTTTTATTTATGGTAAGCTAAAACAAAAACAGCACCGGCTAAATGTTGACACGCGACATTGCAAATTAGATTTTAAAAATGTTAACGTTAATAACATGAAAAGCTAAACTAAGCTACAGTAAGCATCACTCTTAGAAATTAATTTGAAGCCCATACTCGGCGAAATTCGTAAAAACAACACGGCAACAGATGCAAAAAAAGAGGAAATGATTAAGTTAAAGCCAACTTGTCAAAAACAACGTATGCTAGCTTAGTAGCTTCACTATAGTTAGCTGCTACCAACCTTTTGTAACGATACCGACGACCTCGCCGCATTTACACCCAAACACAGCATCGTCGGAGACAGTAAGAAAACTGGTCTTATAATGTAAATCTCTTTCAAGGGTTATATTAACACATTTAGCTGCCTTGCAAGCTAGTTGCATTACTTCTTTTTCCTGAAATACGATCCTTGTGGTCAGTAGTAAACAAACGCATTGAGTGACAGACAGAAAATAAAGTGACCAATCAAAAGCCACTCTTCTAATTTTAAACCAATGGAAAGCTTAAAAATGGGCGGGCCACAAGAAACAGGTTACATTTACAATCTTATTCCAGCAGATGTCGGTATTTCATTTCATCTGTATTTCCAGGGATCCAGTAGAAATATAACGGTAGTAATCCTGCAATAAAGGTTGTACCACATGAAGCTATAAATTATGATGAGGACTATATACATATATATACTGTATATATATATATATATATATGTATGTATGTATATAGTCCTCATCCTCAACATAATTTTTATATATATGTTATACAATATTATGTATAACATATACATACTCATACAACAACACAGCTTATTTGTGCTATAATAGGTAAATATAATTTGATAGTAAGTTTTTGTTTGCAGTCAGTAGAAGTCACTGAAGCTTAGGTTCATGTATATTTTGTTTTGTTGCCATGTACCACATAACAGACCTAGCTAATTGTCCTGGACTATGCAGTTTGCGCCTGAGAGACTGCATGTGCCTAGTCAGGGCCAGCTCATCAGCTGCTGGGACTAAACAACTTCTATTGAATACTGTGATGTGACTTAATAGGAGTATGTTTACAACTAAAATGGTAGGCTTATTCGTTATTGGTTACATTTAAAAAAAAATTGAACTAATAACTACAGTAACAATAACTTGGTCCCAACTCTGGTATAGGAAAATGTACGCCTGTATTTAAAGTTGGAGTGATATTTAGTTTACATAATATAAGCAGAGCTGCTATTAAAGGCTCAAAATACTTTCTTCTCAAGGCATGTTCACCGACCTGAATTATGATGAATTATATGTGCACTTTTTTTGTTGTAGTATTTCTTTTGTGATTGTGGCTCAGTGATGCCATACCTAGTACCCTACTGCCACTTTCTTAACAATCTCAGAATCTACTTTATTGGCCAGGTGTGTTGGACACACGAGGAATTTGACTCTGGTACCTCGGCTCTCAATGTGCAAACAGTAAACCAGCATAAGGCTGTGTAATATAACAAAAATAAGCAGTATTTACAAGCAACAGAAAGTGCAAACAATGCAGAATAAGCACTATGAACAAACAGCAACAATAGTTGACCCATTCTCTGGTGCATGAAGAGATGCCTGTGTGTTTGTAGTACAGTAATATGGAAGAGTGTGAGTCTGAGATCCCTACAGACATCAGTGTTTGCAAGCCACATCCATGGAAACGTAATTTGGAAACACAGCAGCTGTTCAGCCTGGCATGAGATACCAGGTGTGTGGTGGGGCATGTTATCCCACTAGAGGCCCTGCTCACTGTGGGACTTTATCCCAAGGACAGGTTCTCCCTCAGTTGAAGTTACACTTCAGAGAAACATTTATGCAACACAAAGTTAAAAGGCTTGCCATTTGTTATCCATCTGAATGAACAGATCAAAAGCAAATAATCTCTGAATGGTAACAAACTATACACGGTTTATATGTACACAGAGAGTAGAATGAAGCCTTAATGAGTCACTCTTGGCATTGTAGGTTCCATTCCACAGAGGTTTTTGTTATCGTGCAGAGTGCCCGAGGGCTCAGATTTCATTCTAAATGCAAAGAAGTATATAATAGATTTTGCTTCATTCATGGAGTTCCATCATAATATCAGTATATGTGGTTAAGGCGTGTTGAGGTTCAGGCCATTTCCACAGACATGACACACATACAGAGAAACACAACTCATACTGACAAATGCAGAACAATACAGTACGTACAGTAGGTGCAAAGACAAAATAATTACAAATTAAAGCTAAAAAAATTGTAAAAAGTCACATGTACAAACAGCATTAAATAGATAGATAGATAAATAAAACATAAAAATGTGCTGCTGCTGAGCTGTATAGTGCAATGTTTCACAGTGACTGTTTTCACCTCATCACTTGATCCATTGTTGTTATAAAAAATATTGATTGTAGCCATTTTGATGAGATGGTCACACTGAAACAGAACAGTAACACTGGGGCCACAAGACCAAACATTAAGCAGAAAGATGTTTAGAAGCTCTGTAGAGCTCAGGTGGTTATTCTCTGTACTAATGACACTGGTGACGTGTGCTTTATTTGATACATTTATTTTAAAATAGAAATATTTATAAGTGCAGTTTAAATATTTTCATGGAAGACATTTATTTGTAATGGAGTATTTTTACACTACTACTTTTACTTAAGCAAAGGATCAAAATACCCCCTTTACCTCTGACTCTATGTACTGAACATAAAGTGACTTGTACCATCACTGGCATAAGTATTATATAAAATGTAAATGTTTCACATTAGAGCAAAAAGAGTTCCAGTCTCATAAGATGTGATTAGATTAGGTCATGGCTGAGGTGCTCTGGCAGTGTTTGGCATCAGCCTGTCAGCTCAGAGACTCTCCTAACTATGTCAGGTATGTGAACACTGAGGAGGGGTCCATTTTCTCCAAGGCTGCCACTCGCCTCTCCTCACAGCAGTCCCCCCACAGCCCCACTGCTGGATCAGGTTTCTCAGAACACCTTTTCCTGTGGAAATCCTGGAGCCCTACTTTAACTCCAGCAGACATTTCCAGAAGGGCCCTACGCTGTGGACTGGGGAGAGCTAGATTAAGTCAGACACATACACAAATACTTTAACAACAGAAGCCCAAGGGAGGGAACTATTTCTGTTTGATGCTAGTTTCACATGACCCAGTTGTTCCTAAAGTGCAGCCCGAAGGCTCCTGTGGATTCTTAGGGAATTCCTGGAGGAATTCATTTCAGCCTTATTTTACTTTGTGGCTGTTTGCACAGAGACAGTGCGGTTTTACCAGCAGTTTTATAGTGTACTGTGTGCAGTTATGTAGCATTGCATGAAGTCAGAAATAAAGGCACATTCCCTTATTTTATGGCTCCAAATTCTCAAATGTTTGCTGTTGGTGTTTCCAAACTGAGCTCAGTTCAAAGTTCAATTTCACATTAACAGCAATTTGTAGACTTTGATAGCATTAGTGGCACTAAGACTGTACATCTTCAACAGGATACTTGATATGAAAATGTCACTGCTTTGCTCCAACATACACAACACACAACTGTGCTCTGGCTGCAGGCATTCTGCGGGATGTGAGGTAATAGCTCCATCACCGATAATCCCAATGAAACCCTGTGCGCACAAAAGGACCGGCAGTATTTCTGCCAACTTGTTGTACAATCGCAACACTTTGCTGTCCCACTATGCTCACAGTATATGGGAAAGATTTTCCTGGAATGTAACCCAAAAAAAGATTGAATAAAGAACTTCAGAAATGCATCAATCTAAAATAAGAATAGTAACATGCTAATAGCTGAATCTGTAGTGTCTGACTTCAAATCAGAGGCAGAATAAGTAATTTCTACTAATGGAGGGTTTAGCAGAGGGCTGTGCAGATTATCTGGGCTCATTTAATGCACCTCTGATACTACAACAGTGCCTACACAGAGTTTTCTAGCTGCAGCTGTGTCAACAGTCCAGTCAAACAACTTCCCTTTAAAACAGGGGAAAGTGGCAACAAAGTTTTTTCTGCCTTGCCAAAAGCACTTTATGTGCTGAACTGCACCAACAGTAACCTCTCTGATAACTAAGCTGCTTCTGTCATTCTGCAAAGATGAACTCAGAGTCCAGCTGCCTGGGTTAAAATGCGAAGCAGGGGGGTGCTTCGGTGCTCAGGTGTCCCTCCTCAAGGTCTTCCTGGCTGACTCACAGCACCAGCTTTGTCCTGAGTGTACAAAGGCCACACTGTTCATTTACAGCAGCCATGCCTCTGCCCCAAAATGACAAGTCAATGACACCTCCAATGGCAGCTGACAGAATGGACAGATACAAGTTAGTACTGTATGTGTCAGGAGGCTGAAACAGGAGAATGGATGAGCTTATCCAGAAAAAGTCAAATTACCTTTTGCTTTGAAAGTAGTATCCTTTGTGTCTGATTGAGAGAGAAAAATTCAAATTTTAGTTTGAATACATTAAGAAATAATGAACAATATCAGAAACACAGGAACACAGGTAAAAAGTACTGAACATAGAATAATTATGAGTGTTGGTAAAAGAAGGTTGAATTTTCTTTGGGCACAAACCAGTCTGACATCTGCTCTTCATAATACAAAGAAAGTGCAGGTTTAATGATATAGTTACATCCTCACAGCAGCTAATAATTTTAATGATCATGATACAACCCAGGCTTTTCCCTCAGAGGACGTGTCAGTAACAAGGCAAACAAGGGAGCATCAGAGGAAGAGTCTAATTAAGCACAAATGAGCAGGGAGCTGTTCCAGGAAAAGCTACAAGAGCTACTGAGAAAACATCCAGTCCAGTGGTCTTAGGTACTGCAGCTCAGACACCTCTGTAATGAAGACATCACAAGCCAAAATGAGACTGTCCTCCAATAGAAAATGACTCTGAGATGAGATGTGTAATGCAGAATGAATGGTCACCATTTTCTTTTCTGAGCAGGTGTGTGCTGGAGTGGACGGATGGGCAACCAATCACAGGACTTGTTTCCTGAGTGTAATCACCATAGTTGTTTGTCTTGTCCATGGGTGTTCACCTGAACCTGTTTGTTATTGAAACCATGACAATAACTGAAAAATTAGCAACTTCAAGACTCTGTGCTGCACGTTAGCTATGACATACAGGGGCTACGGCAGGGCTGCTACTCCAAATCCAGATTTAGACAAAGTTTGGCTGCATTATTTTGCAGGCAAACTAATTTAACATGAACCTTTAATGTACTGTAATTCCTAATTGAGCATGGAAGGGAAAATTTAGGCTTGAGTGACTCCTCTAACCTAATGGGCATTTAATCACTGCTGCTGGTAAATCATTGCTTGTTGGCAAGGTCAGAGGAAGGTCTGCAAAGGTTGAGTAACTGAAAAGGAATACATTGGATGTTTCTGTTTGGTAAGTAAAGATGTAAGTCATGGGCCTGGACATTAACACCTCAGTCACTAAACAGCTTCACGCTCAAAAACTGGCCTCAGTTCAGTAGCTCTGTATAGTAGCAGCACGACGTGAAGCTGTTAATGAACAACAGGCTCAGTTTACTTTCTTTGCCTTTTAAAACAGGACAGAGAACCAGAATGTTGCAGGGCTGTAAATGTATACCTGGGCCCCTGATGTGAGGTCATCGATGACTGCAGGTTGTTGAGTTGTGTGGGTGAGGCCTGCAGCGTTTCATTAGGTAGGAGGGTGGTGGTTGTTATTTTAAAGAGATGGGGGTGCTTTGACTCGGGCTGTGGCCTCAGGTTTGGCTGCCAGTTATGCAGGACAGAATTTATCTAACAGGGAAAAACAAAAGCAAAGCTTATTGTAATAGTGAAAAACAACAAGCTACTTTTACTCCGGTGCTGTAACTAAGATTTGTGACCCTGACTTTTAATACCAATTAACTCAATCAGATGTCTCTCACACTCCTGACACTGCCGTTCCACTAATCTGTGGTAACCATATTCTGTCCTACCTCCTGAGCTGCAGCCGCATCTCTGGAAAGATAAACTGTTTGCTCAGGGTGAAACCGCGATTTAAATGCATTATTTGCACAGACTGTGCTGGTCACTGGTCTGCACCGAGGACTTTATATATGTTCCAGCAGAGTGTCAATTTTAGATTTATATGTTGTTTTTGCCCCAGGCAAACAGAGAGCAGTCATCTGCATGCAACCTGCTACTGGACATCAGCTTAAAAAACAGGTGTTGACTTTCCCCCAAAGGTTTGCATGGAGAATCCTGCTGTTCCTGGATGAGTCGCATATTACCTAGGTTACAAATAGGGCCAGGTTTTGGAAATCAGTTTTACCTGTTGTGATTATTTTGTATTTAGCAAAGTTCAGTGGCAAGAAAAGTAAAGTGAACACAGTGGAATGACCTGCATTTATATATAAATCTGTCATCAAATATAGTCTGAACTTAAGTATAACAATGAACAAACACAATGTATTTTAACAATACCACACAAATCATTGTCTTGTTTTGGGGTTGCTGATCATGAGGACGTGATCAGTGCTGAAGGTCTGATGTGAATGATGCCTAAAAACAGATCTCAGAAGACTTAGGATCAAGCCGATTTGGAGATTTGAAGAATTCTGCACCACAAGCTGTGTAACAGGAATCTGAGCTCGTTCTAAAATGCCGTGCTGCATGTCCTCTTCTGACCCTGTAAACATTACATATATTTGTCCTTTTTCTGGTACCTTCTGTGCAATACATTGGGGTCAAACCTTTTGTAGCTGACATTATCACATGGCATAAAAGGTGTAAAAGACAAAGCATGCTGCATATTCCATTTATCTCCTCATGTTTTCTGACCCTCAGCAGAATCACTGATAAAAACACATGTGATAGCAGGACCTGCTGAGCCTCAAACGGCCCTGGGATGTAGCCTTGTGTAAGCGCCTCAGAGACTTATCAGGCTTCAGCAGTTGGATGGGTTATAAATCACAGTCCATCCTCTTCACTGCTGCAGCCCAAGCCACTTGAAATAAAGCATGGGTGAGGCGAGTCAAGGTTGATGGGTGTACTGACAGAGGGATCCATGTCAGATTACATAAGAGTTAGCAGCAACTGATAATGGGACTGAAATAACCTGTATACTATTATATAATTATTATAAAATAGTACAAACATTTAGTAAAACATTTGCATGAGTTGATGAACGTGATTGAATTAGTCTGCCTACTGTTATTCCTCTCATGTGACACTGGACCTGTTAAAGATAAAATACTGGTCCATAATCACTTTCATTATTCCAGCATTTTATTAAGGGAACTGGATATGTAGGATACAACAAAATGAAACCACTTCAGATATTATGCAGGTTTAGTGCTGAAATGTTCATTGTTTAGGTCATTTCTCAATGAAAGATGCCAAACATTCGCTGACCGCTGCATCTTACATGTGAGAGGTTGTTGCTTTTGTCCTGGTTTTTTTCATTGTAAGTTGAATGTCTTTGATTTTTGACTGTTAACAGGACAAAACACACAATTAATCACAAAAGGCCCTAAGAGTTTAAGGACTACATGATTAATCATTTAAGACATGTTCAGATTAATCAGTAATGAAAATGACCATTGTTTGCAGCCAGGTTCAAGTTCCTTTCATCCAGCAGCCATTTTGATTGACCTCTGGGCAAAATGTGCAATGGTCACTAAATCATTAACACACTATAGTGTATTAACGATTTAGTGAAGAACTGCAAGTCCCATGAGGCTTTGACACTGGTCCCGTGGTTAAGATTCAGGGATATGTTGTTTTAGACAGCTAACAAAATACTCAGCTTACATTTTACTGTCAAGTATTTCTCTAAGAACAGAGACACAAAACTCATCATGTTCAGTTTTTAATAATGATGAAAGAAACCTACAGCATGAAAAGTTATGTTTAGCATTACAATCACAGATGGGACTTCAGCTGTCTATTCTCACAATTGTTTCATTGGATAAAATTAAATATTAACAATTAGATAAAAGAGATAAAATGATTAAATAGCACACAGTAGTGCTATAAATGGTATTAAACATACAGTACATATGCCTCCATGCAGTGTACACCCACGGACACACTAGCAGTCTGACATCACCAGCAATACCATTTTACAAGTAGTTAATAACATTATTCACAATCCAGCCATACAAACATATGATATAGTTTCCTATAATTATTCTGTACACATTGTATTTTGAAGGTAAGTGAATGCAGTCCTTCTGATAGTGCTGCTTAGCCTGTGCTGTCATCATGCTGTGAGTGGCTGCCACTCCAGTGACAGTTGTTCATGATGTGTGTAGTGCATTTCACACTTTGAGCCAAAGACACTGCCGGCACCAAGTTACACCATCAGCACCGTCAGTCTTCTGCTGTGTGATTGGGTCCAGCTTCAGTGATCAGCCACCACTGCAAAGGTCTTTGTTTTGGCTGTGGCTTCATCCTCTCGCTTTGGCTTTCAGATGGACCTCTGTACTGTGCGAAACCCAGTGGCACATAGAAAGTCAGTCAGTAGAACAGAAGGTTTAGCTGTTTCCCATTAATGACCCAGCATTCAGCCCCACATCAGGGTTGAGGGATCCTCTTAGAACCAACTTGGGGAACCATGAATAACAGCAAACACACAAATTAAAAGATGCCAGCTGAAGCTATTGTGGCGAGGTGTCGAGAGCCATAGAGTGTTCACCACTGAGTCGTCCTATGTAAACCATTCCCCTGCGGAAAAAGAGAGAGATGGTAGAGTTGCTGAACAGACTGCAACATAAGGAGATTTTAAATGAATACTCTACCTAAAATCTGTGGTTGTAATATGAACTTGAACAGTGGCTCTGAAAAGACTGCAGTTTGGGAAGGCGCTGTAGTCAGGTTGGATTCACTGAAGACACACTGTTCAGCCATTCCCTATTTGATCCATGCATTTACCTTCACCCATTTTATGAGTTCCCAGCCCTTTGTGGAAAATCTGCATTAATCACAAATTTCCCTACTAGAATAAAAGTACTACCTTACTTTTTGTTAAAAATCCCCGAAGGCACCGCTTTGCCTTTGACAAATGTGACAATTACAGTGAAGTGAAATTATGAGGCTTCAAAATGTCTAAAATCTCAATTTTGTCATCACAATAGACCATTTAATTCTTATTATTTAGGGAATATAAACATATAAAAATACTCAGCATACCTGAAAGTGGAGTAATTATCTACCAAAACATGGATGAATACATGTAGAAACACACTAAGTGGTAGGAGGTATTTCAATAAAGGAAACCTTTCAGGACATGGATTTCAGAAGCTAGCCATGAAATACATTACAACACCAAAAACTACAGTCTACTGTGTATCTGAAAAATATGATAGTTCAAAACATACTGAGCATATATTTGACAGTAGAAAAGTGGATTATGTGTCCGTAGTCTGAGAAATGTTTTTGTCCTTTATGTGAATCCAAACCGGCTGCTGCTGCCCTCCACAGGCCTACAAACCTTTCAGAGCCACAAAGGTACATGTTCACTACTCAGAGGTAAAGGTTTAGAAGACAAATGTTTAGTGCAGAGAAATATGAGAAAAGATTAATGTAATAAGGTGACAAAGAAATAAATCAACGTCTGCTTTTTGCCTTTTAATAAGAGAAAAGAAGGAAGAAGTGCAGAGTACACTGAGACCAGCTAGCAGGTTGAACACAAGGCTCAGAGAGAGTGGGCTCCACAAGGCAGGAAAAAAAAATCCAGACAAAGACGTGATTCATACCTGGAGCCCGGAGGTCGGCATGCACAGAGGCAGAGGACGAGAAAAGCCTCTGCAGGTAAACAAGTGATAAGAGAAAAGAGGAAAACTGTAGAGTGAAGGGAGGCGTTGGGGGGGGTCAGGGTGCCACCTACACTTTTTCCGTTTGTCTGTGCGTATGGAGTCTCAGTCTCAGTGTGTGTTGGGGGGGCGCCGCTCTGGCTGATGGCTGCTGAGTGGACAGTAGCTCTAGGAAGGATCATGTCATATGAAGGGTCCGGAGGGTGCTGCGTAAAAGTCAGAACATGGGCCATGACAAACACATCCAAGAGGTGAGGGGGGGGAATGGATCAGTCATCAACACTACGGTGAACTGGGCCGTGAACTGGGCCGTGCACTAGCCACGGTTACTGTCTTCCCTGCAGAAGTGGTGGCAGATTTACCACTCGCAGCCTGGACTCTAAGTCTCTGAGGTCACACACAAGTAAACACAAGAAGGCTTCCCGTGTCTACTGTGCTGAAAAAAAGTAACAACTCTCACTGCTGCAATCATGTAACACAGCCAGAATGGAATAAACAGGAAAACGCATGCGATTCCCAGTCAGGAGTGTCCACACATTATTCCAAAGTGGTCATCCCTGCTGCTAAACGTCCAGTCAGACCAGATAAACAGCCTGAATGAGCTACTTCAGCTGGTTATGTATCTGTAGCAGAAACCAGATTTAAAAAACTAAACAAGTAAACAAACAAAAAACTATGTATAAAATGATCTCAATGGTCTGTATTAATGTTAATAATAGATTTTATTTTTAAAAATAAATTATGTCATTTATACAATTAAAAATATATTTTACTTTTTGGATATGTAATGTAATGGCCAAGGCACCTTTTCTGTCACATGCAATTCTTTTGTGCCGTTTTAAATGTGGCTGATAAATTGTCTCCACTCCATCACTGCTGGCACAAACTCTGACTCACCTACTGAGTTCACATACACCTACTCTACGATTAGCTTGTAGGTGTGGGCTGCTTCAGCAATCCTACTCCTGTCTTAGTGAGCAGGTACTTATACTAACTGCATCTTGTTTCTCTAAACATGTTTTGCTTATATTGAATCTAAATTTTACTTAGCTGTCAAAGGTTAGTGTCAGCAGTTCATTTGAATGATGAGTTGCTTATCACAGGATATGCATGTGTGCTGTCCCTACACTGTTTATTGCAGGGCTTATTCAAATGTGCACCTCTGTGAAACAATCCACCTGGATGTATACTCACATTTCCCACTGACTTGGTGATGAGAGCCAGCTCAGTGGGCTGGTAGACCGAACTGCGCACCTGGCCGGTGTAGCCGCTGTATGGAGACACGGGCTTGGGTCCTGGGGTGGAGATACAGAGGAAACACCATTAGTCTGTCCTCTAACAATCCCACTGTGTGATATCTTTAAATGCTCCTGGGCCACAGTCGCTTAAACCGTTATATTACAATCACCAAACCAGCAGTACATCACCATAACAAGACCATAACTGGGTTTCCAGCTACATTTCATCACAGAATGTGGCATTTCTTTCTGTTTCGTGTGTTAATTTGACAAACATTACAGCATAAATAGATACTTTATTTATCCTGAGGGAAATTCATTGCTCCACACAAATCTGTTTTCACCTTCTGCTACTTCAGTGGACGCTCAAGTTACATGATTAATTCACTGAATTCCAATTTATTTTTATTAATATTCCAACTTTTCTACCTTGAGTTGATTTTACATACATCAGCTTTTAGTGCAAAAAAAAAAAAAAAAAAATTGCATAAATGCATCATGCTTGGCTGAGGTGGAAAAACTTTGTTTCAATAAAAGCACAGTGTAACAAAGTGTAATAGAAACAGAATTAGAAAAGTAATAATCATGATGTACAGTACATGAAGCCTGTGACTTAAATGCCCAAAGAAAAGATTGAAGAATAGCAACAGACCAAGACAGATGTGTGTGGACTGATGAACGTTCCTCAGATTATACATGGAACAAACAAAAACATTGTATTTCCATCAGTTCTACCATTTCAGCTTTGGCTGTTGCTCTTCTACCTACGTCACCTTTTGCATCCTACTCTTCTGCAGTGGTTTAACGGCTCTAACTGGAAAATTAGTGCCACCAGCTGTTTATCTTTAAGAACCAACCCCAAATATCCAGATTACAGCAGCAGTTAGAAATGCACATTAATTTGATTTTCTTAAAAATCTGTGAACGTTTCCACTACATTTGTTCAGAAACACCACTTTCAGGTATGTGCAAAAACCGTTTTTTTTTCATATTTCAAGATGTTTCTGACTTTCCGGCATATCCACTCGGTTCTTTAAGCACAAACTGAAAATGCACATTAAAAAGAAGCGGATGGAAAAACACATCATGAGGCACCATCCCATATCCTGTACAAACACCCAGCAGAGATAGAGGTGACACAGGACTTTGTCACACTTAGTGGCACCTAAAGCCAAATATTTTCCTCTAGATAAAACTGCTGCCACACCTCAGTTGTCATGGACAGTATACAAACAAAAGGTGTAATGTTTCTGGTGGGAATCAGAGGTACAGTGGGAGTGTTTACAAGTGATACAGTGGTGAGGGATGCAGTTAGATTCTAGACAATCATTAACAGCAACGATCCAGAAGGCACACTGCCTCCGAATCCCTGGCTGAAACGTTGAGAAAGAAATGTATCCAGATGTTTGATCAAACTTCCTGTCCTCGTGCTCATGGCTATTATTGGCTTTTTACATGTATGTCACAATGCAAGGACATAACTAACTTATCAGGGCGTTAACTGAGGAGTTAATGACATGAACTATTGCTGCTCTGTGTCATAAACCCTGATCAGAGCATTTTATCACACAGCAGTTTGCAAACAGTATTTCACTGCTCAAAATGGAAACACAGAGCTTCCCAGCGTGATAAGCCAACACCCTCCTCACCTTCATCTGAAAGGCTGCAGACTCTGGGACCACACCGTTCTGGACTTTCTACTGCAGCATCACATCCTGCTCGGCTCTGCACTGAAACAGCTCAAATTCTGTGTGGTCATCACACAGATCACACAGGCTATTCTGCGGCGTATTGGTCTGTTCTGATGTTTTTGTGGGCTTCAAACTTTTACTCATCACCTATCTGTACAAGGTCACCCTGACTATCCTCTGATTAGCAGAGTACTTTATCATACCAACAGCCTTTAAAGGGACAAAGGATGGAGTGTACAGTGCACTGTCTAGAGGCGCTCTCCTGACAAACGATGGGTTGCACAATATGAACCCAGAGACAATGAACTTTGAGTTTGATTACTTGTGATAAGGAGTCAGGGAGGTTACTGTGTGACTGATGTGTGATATGTACAGTGAACCTCAACTCTAGTTATTACCTCACAAGCAAAGGGAAACTTTTCCAGTATGTCAACTCAGGAAAACATCAGATTTACAGGGAACAGCGGGAGCAAAACTGCTTCATGAAAAAAAAAGTGGAGGTTTATTAGTCAGACTGCAGTGAAATGACACATGAAACCCAGCCATGCTGTCAGTGAGGGAGAGGCCGTGCACTACATACCTTGGTTGGGCTCATCCATGGAGAAAGCTTTGTTTTCCATGAATATGTTCTGGGAGCTCTGTTCCTTCAGGATCGTCTCGTAGCCGACTCCTTGGGCCGGGTACAGCTCATCTCCGTAGCCTTGCTGGATTTCATCATCGCTGGTCAAACAGCAGATTTCAGGCATGGTGTAGAGGATGACAAACACCCACGCATTTGCCACCAAGGCGATGGCCAAGGTGGGGTCATCCCATGTGGGGCCCCCGTGCTTCCCGTTTCCGTAGACATACATGACGATCCATGCCACCCAAATTCCCACAGACAGCAGGCTGATCAGAAGTATCCAGACACCCATACACTTCCACTTCTTGTGTCTACCTGCCATGATGGCCAGACTTGCCACCATCACAGCCAGGATTAGGGTCATCACATATATCAGGGCCATGACGAAGTCCTGGTTGGCGATGTTGCAAGGCGTAGCCATGGCTCTGCCAGTTCCAGCTGTGGCGTTGAGCGGGCCCAGTGGGTGGCGCACTATTGTGATGATCAGCCATTCTGTGTTGATGACCACCTCCACCAGCCACAGCCCCAGTGCCCCCAGACACAAACCCCAAGCTCGGGGTCCACTGTCCTTCCTGGCGAGGATGTTCAGGTTCACACACTGCATCAGGAGGCAGGCGAAGCAGCCGCCAAACAGCACGCCAAAGAGGAACCTCCGTGAGGTGCAGGTGGAAAAGTCCTTTCCCACAATGAAAGCAAAGGTGAGACAGAAGAGACCAGCAGTGCAGATCAAGAAGAAGGCGTGGAGCGCCACCGAGCTCCTGCGTTTCTTGTCTTTCAGGAAGGGCAGGCTGGCCAGCAGCGAGATGAAGAGCACAAAGCAGAAGACGACACCGGCTGCAGCGAAGGCCTCCAGCACAATGCCCCACGCGGCACTGAAGTCACACAAGTTGTAATAGAGGGAGTCCAGGTTAGGGCCACAACCCTGAGGAGTGACATTGGCAGCCATTGTGACCAGCAGGGATCAGAGTTCTGGGATTCTGGGAGAACCTGCTCAGATGAAAGAACAGAGAAAGTCTGAGACAGGCCTGACGTGAACAGGTCCTTACAAAGACTCTACCCACAGTATGTCACCGGTGTTAGATTAGGATACTGGAGTCTACACCCAATCCAGGAAGTGTTACACCAGTATGAGTCAGGGTACTGTGACAAAACATTTGCATGATGTTTACACAGAAAATATGTAATAAAAAGAGAGTCAGCTGTCATTTGGAGCTGGATTCAGCAGGCGCCGAGGAGGAGCGTCAGACTCCGGACTTTCCCCAGCTTTGACTGTTAATCATTAACAGGATCAAATATTTTCTGTACATCATGACTACATCTGAATCCACAGGGTGAAAGGTGTTAAACCAAAGCACAGGGGCAGAACTGAAGACTTCGAATGTGAATAATACACATATGAAATCAACAAATGGTGCTAAGTGCCACTTTGAGTACGGTCAGTCCTGTTTAATAAACTACTACTGCTTGCTGTTACTTTAGTGTGTGACCTCTAATCACACAGAGACTTGAGGGTGCTACAGGTTCGTTTTCAAGTTTTCGTACCTGTGGTGTATGAACTGTTTCTAGGGAAAGCTCAAGGACCAACTGTTGTATGGCATGTCTGCAATTTCTGAATGCTCAAGGTAGAAACCCAAGGTGAATTTTCACTCCAAACAAAATAATAATAAAATTAAAAAAAACGAAAGAACAAGGCAACAGTCTGTCTTTGAAATATTTGAAATACTCGACCAACAATCTAAAACAGATCAAGATTAGACCAAGGACTCATAGCAGGTTAGACTGAGGGACCTCAAACTTCAATTCAATTCAAAGTTGGGCAACTAAGAGAGAAACATCATCATAAGACCCATTCGGCTTTCCATCCTGTCACATGATCTTCCTCAGCAGAAATGTTAGGGCTTGTGATAAAGAGAAACGAATAGAAAAATAGGCTAAATCTGCATGATGAATTGGTCCAGTCGATTTAAAAGTAAAAATAGCCAGAATGAGGTTTCCACCCTCTCCAGTGTGAGAACCTGCTGCTTTTCTTTTTTTTTTACCACCATTAGAAATGAGATACAGAATCTTTAAACAAAAAGCAAAAATGCATATTCCACTATTTTCCAAAATGATCCTGACTATGAAAAAAATAACCAGCAGACTAATCGGCAATAAAAATGAATGTGTTGTGACTGAAACAACACAACAGCCTCTAAATGGAGACGGTGGTGAGACTATTTTCTTTTTATACAACTTACTGTACATGTGAGACAACAAGATAACTGCATGGAAACCAACAAGGTCAAGGGCAAAAGGCTGGATAACCAAGCAAGAACAATACTGGTACATTTTGTTGAATTTCTTAACACAAACTACCACAGATAACAACGCTGTCATGTATTCTTGCCTTTTGCATCCTCATGCTCTAATGCAGCATGACGCAGTTGGGTTACCAGCAGCATATTGTTGCTCTGGGGCCCCTGGAAGGTTTACGGGGCCCTGGTAGGACTGAGTTTGTTGTGTCTATCATCTGTAACCATTTCACTGTCGTGTATTTAGCGCGTACAAAAGCAACCTCTCCTGCTAGTTGACTTCGTTAACCAGATAAAGCTATGATTTGAAAAAACAGGCCACTCCATGAAAGGAGTGATGCTACTGTACCTGTACACGTCGTTATGTACATGTCTACTAGGCTGCTTTAAACATTAGATCCTTATTTTACGCTATCTGAACCATAAAAGTGTTTGATTAATGCTTCAGTGTGTGTTCATGGATTCCAGTGACAATTAAAATGCACCAAGTGTACTTATAGTCATCCCATCAACACTAGTATATATTAATATACTGCATTGAAATGTTTGCGTGAATATATTTGTAAACATACAGAAAAAAACATCAAATATATCTTAAAACTCTGAAAACGATCATTAGCCCAGGTTTAAACACATAAGTACGTTATGGTGGGTTTGATTTGTGAAAGTACCTGGAAGCTGGCAGCAGACTTCACCTCGGAGCTGGTTGCTGATCCTCACCTGCTCCAAACGGCGCTGATAAATCATGGAGAGTTAAAGTTTCTAATCTCCGCCGGATCCGGTAGAAAACCTCCCCAGACTCATCCCTGCTCAGCGTGCGTCAAATGAGAAGTACAGTAAAAGTCTACGCGTCTTTTCACGAGCTCTTCCTCGCGACCTGGCTGCTGCGATGTGCTCTCTCTCTTCCTCTCTCTCTCTCTCTCTCAGAACCGAAACACCTGAAGTCCGACTGGTGGCGCTAGAAGCGGCGTGTGGGGACATCTGGCGGTGAAAGTGGGTAACTGCAGCAGCATCAGGCGGTGGCAACACAACAGACACTTGTATCGAAATCAGCGCTACACATCCATCAACATGTTTCATTCATCTGAACCACCGGTCATCGTGACTCTGTCGCTGTTACGTAACAATTTAATACAACTCTTTTCTGGAGTAAACTGTACTTTACTAAATGACATACAAGACATAAACTGAATTCACTTGTTTTATTCTGTGGTATTCTATTTTAGCTTTTAAATTTTTTATTTTATTCAAAACTTCTACTTAAATGCGTCTTTCTCATGTTGCCCTGTGTTGCTTGCCTTTTTAAGGAGTTAAATGTCCACAACTCTTTAAGGATTTGGTTTGTTTTGAAACCAGTCTAGAGCCACATTTGAATTTTAATTGAGATCACTGAAACTTTCTTTCGTTTTCATCTTCTTTATTTTCCTTGGAAGCAAAATGGAAATGGAAACCAATAAGATGTGGTCCGTAATCATCAATGATGATGCAGCAAGCTGTCATCAGGTTGAAGGGACTGACATTACATGAGGACACTGATGTGTGTGATGTTTTGGTCAGTGATTGAAGGAGCAGCCCCCCCCACAGAGCTTAGCCGTGTTCCTCCAGCGGACACCCACTCACACTTGTTGATCAGGAGCTGATTTTTTCTGCGTCATTTCCCCGGCCTCTGCAGAGTGGCCAGCTTCTCTGTGTGGACTTTCATTCTGCCATTGCCCCCCACCCCCACCCAGGTTTAGCTCTCCATTCTCTCTATCTGTGAACCTGGCAGGGCTCGGTTTCTGTCAGTGCTCCATTTCCAGATGTATCTGTTTTCACACTGTCCGACTCTGACCCGCACCTCCACCATGTTTCCTTCCTGAGTTTCAGTATTGAGCGATTCACTGTCTCCTTGAACCAATACCCCAGAGAGACATTAGAGAAGACTGATCTGTAGCAACGCATTCATTCTGGAGCCCTGAAAGGACAAATCTGACCTTTCTATTGCAGTATTTTCCTTCATTTTTTGATGTAAAATTATACCCAACACAAAGACAGTGCATCAGTAAAGGCCGAACAGGCTCATTTCAGTGGAGAAACTGAGTTTGTTTTCAGGCTTTTTGATGATTTGCAACACAGAACGTCCACATCACTGGCAGATTTATGTCCTCTTTTTGTCTTTTTCAAAATCTACAGTTGTTATAACATACTCATCTGATACACAACAGAAACTGTACCAGTCCTGTGTTATTTATATAAAACTCTTGTCAGTGCTCACAGACAGGACCGTTCTGTGTTACGGAACAATGAACAATGATGTGAACGCTGCACATGAAGTCAACAGAACGACAACAGGCCGACATGCATCATGTTCACACTCATTGAGACAGGGAACGTCTGTTCTGACTTTATCCAAAGAAACAGCAAAGGATTCACAACGGTTGTTCCAGATTTTAAAAGACACTTGTTTTAACCCAGTAACTCTAAAGTATTTTATAAGTTAAATTAAACAATAACATAGTTCCGCTGAAAGCTGTTCTCTGTGCACTGCCCAGAGTAAATGGGACTTGGTTTGGAAAAGAGCTTCAGTTTTTCACTGTTCTGAGCAACAAATACATTCCAAGATCTAGATTGTAAAACAGTGAAATAAGCAGCATGATCCCAAGAACAATCCATCCATTCATCTGTTAGCTGTACGCACCGATGCACACAGGGGGCACTGGGTGAAAAGTCAATCATTCCACCATTCACACTTCTGGGTAATAAGCGTTAAGTACTTCTTTTAACTGTCCATAAAGAACAAGCTTCCCGTATTTAGACAAGTGCTGCTGATAGGAAACACTGAGCAGCAGGCAGAGCTGAATGGGAGCAGAGTCAGGGGACATGACCAGGTGTTTGAACAGGCACAAAGGACAGGTGTCATCAGACAGGGGACGTGTGGACGTGTGGCTGCTGGGGTTTTCCTGCTCCTAATGTCCTCACACCTCTTCTCCCTAACAGCTCTGTAGATGTGTAACAAGCTGGGGCTTTAATCAAAGCCTGCTCTGGTTTCTTGGTACCAAATTATGGCCTTGAGTCATCGCTCCGCCGCTCACTGTTCTCACACACTCTCGTATACCCCCCTGTGTTATTGTCAGGCAGCAGGAGACATCCTCAAAGAAACTGTTTGTATCCACATTTGTGTCTAGACTCGGAACTCAGTGTGGGACGACAGGAGCCGACGGACACGGGGACACATGAGAGCACTAACACTGTATCTCCAATTGTTCCAGTAAATATGATGAGGACTGGGGGGCGATGACAGCAGGCAGGTGACTTGCATCACAAACATTAAGCCTGAATGCTGGTCAGAGCAGTAAATGGATTTAAGTTTAACATTCACTGTTCTTCATCCTTAAACATCTGCATCTTTAGCTGCTGCATGTCTCTTTGCAAGTTAGTTGCTCACTTCGTTGGTCACCTGCTTGGTGCCAAGCAAGATGTGTGCCTCAGTTATAAGAAGCTAACAGCTCCCTAGAGCTGCAGGATTAGGTGATAATTTGCCCTGGCTTTCATGTCCCCAACTCTGCAAAGTCAAGCTCAATACGTTTGTTCTTTAACATCATCAAAAGTGCAACTGAGACTGCAGCTGCAAATTCCAGCTGATGAGTCTGTTGCCGTTCACAATTTTAAACCAAGATTGTAAATGAAAATAAGGTTTGAGATTCAAACTGATTAGCCATAATTTGGGTATTAGCTATAAAATGTTTAGATATGTCAAAACTAATAAAATGTTGCCAAATCTTTAGGGAATTTCAGTCCTTTAACTTTTGAAATTTCAAAATTCTGAATTGTTTTGGTGAAATAAGATAAAATTCAGTGTTTCACAAAATTAACAAACAAGCCTTCTTCAACCTTATCTTACCACACTAAGTAAAACTGATGAAGTTACAGCGTGTGTTGTCGTTAGAGTGTTAGTTCTCTGTCTCCACTAGCATTTAATGTAGCTCCAGCTTGTTATTTTTAAAAATCAGGAGTTAGCATCAAGGTGTTTATCGTGCCACAGGAAACGTTCATTCTTCAGATCATCACTGAAAACCAGGAGGGATGACATCTAACAGAATCCATTCATCAAACTGACAGCAGAGCTCGCTACACCCAGTGGCATTCATTAAAAATATACACAGTACATGACAACAACAGTTGGCCCATTCCAAACTCATAATCACACAGTATATGGGAACAGACATTACATGCAGCTTTCTTATCATTCACTAAAAGTAACACTGACAGAACGGATGCATTAATTTTCATCAAATTAAAATGATTTAACATGAAATGGTTGATGCCTGCATGGTTGCATGTGTTTGTTCATGATAGAAGTGTGTTCCTTCTTGTGAGTTTCTGTGCATGTGTTTGTGCAGGCTAATCTGAGGTTTGTTTAGCCAGAGCTGAGGCTGTGTTGGTGAACTAGCAGACCGGCTGTTTGAAGAGCAGGGACAACAAGCTTTCATCTAAAGCTCCACTGAGTTGGATTTCATGAAAAATAAACACTTGCCTCCGCAGCTGTGGTTTTGTGACTGGGAGCCTGAGTGTGATTCTTTGCTCGAGTGGCTGTGCTCAGCAAGGTGGATTTTCTTTTGGGATTTCAACATCTTGACAACTGCAGAAGACAGCACCCAGTCCACATTAAAACTCTCAGTCCTCCTTCGGACTGAGGCTAACTGACTCAGAAAAGTGAGAGTAGGTGAACGGTTTAACAGCTTCCAACAGAATTCATTATTTTGCTCATTACTTTTCTCCCTTTGTACACTTACCTTAGATCTAACTGCTGATTTAATCAGAGAAAACAAATTGATAGATTTTTCTTGTAACAATATAAAAATGTCACATTCCTGCCATGTATAGAAACCAAGGAAACACAAAAACCTAGTTTCAGTTTGTCATTCTTTTGAGGAAAAATAAATAAACTGTCACAGTTTTGGACTTACAAGGACAAACAACACCCAGTGAGACAGTATAGTATGAAAAACATACTTCTTGTGGGTTGAGTTCAGTTAAGGCCTTTTGAGAGAACTCCCAGGCCGAGTGGCGACCATGGCTGGAACACAGTGTGCGTCCCTGGGGGTCACGAGTGCTCAGGGACCGTGGGATAAGGGGTGTGTTGGATTAAGAGGAGGGGACCCAGGGTCACGAGGGCTTTTTGGCCCTGTGTGGTGACAAGGGGGTGGAGTCTCGCTGTGAGCGCTTGTTGGTCCCACTGTACAGTGAAGAGATGGAGGCATTGGCGGGGGTCTGTTGCTGGGCGAGCACGCAGCGAAGATGCAGTGGGCCCCCTCTGAGCAGCACGATATCCCGCACAGCGCTGCGGAACGGTTTACTGACGAAGCAGTAGAGGAAGAAGTTGACAGCTGTGTTGAGCATGGCCAGCATGTTGGACAGGTCATAGGCCAGGTGGACGCGCCAGTCTCGGTGAACTGAGGACACATACAGGTGGTAGATGACCACGACGGTCCTGGGGGCCCACAGCACAGAGAACACGGAGGTGATGGCCAGTAGCATGCCTGTGGTTTTCCCAAGCCGCCGCTGGCAGGCCAACTTTGGCCCAAGCTCTTCCTGGCAAGGCTGCTGCTGCTGCCTCGCCTGTGGATTATTAAGGAGTTCAGCACCAAGAAGATACTACAGGGCAGGAAGTAGATGATAGTGACATGTGTCCATATGAGGATGGTGTCCAGCTCTGTGGGCTGGTGGCTGTTCCTCCACATGTCTGACCACCAGAAGAAGGGCACGCCTGATGCCAGAGATAAAGTCAGGACCACCGCAATGATCTTCCTGGCTCTGGCCGGGTAGCTGATCTGGCGGTGGAGGAGGGGGTGGCACAGTGCCACATAGCGGTCCACAGTCAGGGGTACGGTGGACCAGATGGAGGCATGGTTGGCAGCAAACTCTGCAGCGCTCACAAAGTGGAGCAGCGGTGCAGGGACCTCACGGTGAAACACTGCCGTCTCCAGGAGGAAGCCGACGAAGATGATGAAGAGCTGGGACAGAATATCTGAGCCAGTCACTGCCAGAAGGTAGTAGTACAGAGCTTTCTTGGTGCGGCATGCCAGTTTGGACAAGGCTACTGCTGTGAGGACATTCACTGACAGAGAGAAGCACAAAGAGAAGGAAAAGGAAATTATATTAGTTGTTGTTTTTTTACCTCCATGAAACAGTCTGCAGGAGGAATGCTACCCAACACAGAGAGAAAACTGTGAAACTGAGAAAATGTTTTCAGGCTGGAAAACTGTTAAACTTACTGTAATGCTCATATTTTATGTTCGTTTAGGCTGATATTCAGCTCTCTGGATAATGTGAGGGGGAATGTGAGGGGGAAATTGCCTGTAAACAAAGCATGGTGCCTATAAAATATTAAAAAAATTACAAGTCAGTGCATTTAAATATGATTTATTTGTAGCTTAATATATGTCTGATACTGACATGATAGTTACTGCTGTCATTTACAGTAAAGTGCAGTAAATTCAGTCAGTTATGATGAGATTAATTGTGGATAGACTTCCTGATTCATATGCATACATGCATTAGGAGTCTCAGTTTCCCTGTACCAACATGGTGCAGCTCTACAATGACGAGAAGAGGCTCATGAGGCATGTTGGGAGATGAAGGACGAAATTTTAGCTTTAGACAAGGTTAACTGTGACTATCTGACTCACTTTAACTACAGCTGCTGGATCTTTAGCTCGGAGCCTGAGTGCAGTGCCTGCAGTGGGCTTCATTCTTAGCTACTTTTTAAAATGACTGTAGTCTTTTATAAGCTGTTTCTATGGAAATTATATATATATCTATTGCACCAGGAGTGGGCTACCTCTTCTATATCTTTTTCTTTTTCCAAACATCTTGTTCACAGCAGGATATTTAGAGAACCCTTCAGGCATACCGCTGTTGACTCTGGCCCTGTGGCCTTGATATTTATTTGGCCCCTGGGAATAATTACGTGCTGCTATTCAGAGGTCATCTGGTTGCTCTGTTGACACATCCACTTGGTTTGAACACCACTGAATCCCTCCTGGTCTGAATCAATACCAAATCATGGCCATCGACTTCCAAACGAAGCTCAGTAATGAGAACAGTGCTGGTGGCTGTTCATCAAAGTGACAGTTATTTTCACTTTTTGCATTACTGAGGTGATATGTTTTGATTCCAGACAGTTGGCTGCAGGGATGGGTAACAGGAGAACACTCATGAACCCAAACACGTTGATTATTAGATCATTAGTTCACTGTGAAAAGAGCCATCAGTGGTTGGTCGTGTGCTGTGAATTATCTCAATGGTCCACTGAGCACCAGTAACATCCCTCTCGCTCACTGGTGTATTGATTGTCTTGTGTAGTTCCACTATTGTTATAAAGATCAATACACAGACTCAAAGTGTGCTCAGTTTACACACTGACTATGGGTCAGTACAAATGCACTAATAAAATGAGGTAGACTGGCAATTCATTTTCTAGAATTAAAGGGTCAGTTCACATAAATTACAAAAAAAAAAAACAATGACTTCATCTCTTCCTGGCCATGTTTGGATATGATTTGGTTTTAAATGATTGTGTGGGTCACTGACCATTTAACTCCTAATGCCCACTGCATGACACCTTGATTGTGTACCTGGTACTCCAACACAGAGCAGGACACTGTAGTAGATGATGGGGATGGAGCCCAGGACACATTTGGACTTCTGCAGCTCCTCGGGTTTCCGGCCCAGCTCCTGGTGGCCGGACATTGTCACATTGGGCCAGTCGATCATGACCTTGGTGCTTCTCCCAGAGAATAAGCTGGAGACAGAGACAAGTTATCAGGATTCAAAGCCAGTGTTTTGACATAGAAAGTAAAAAAAAAAAAAGGATTTATTCATTAGACTGATGTGGTTGGTGATGAAACTAGCAGAACAGTCATGCTTCAGCAGTGTAAACAGTAGAGGGCTCAGTACACAACCTTGTGGTGATCCTGTGCTCACTGTGGTTGTTTTAGATGTTACGCTACCTACTCTGACTGTCTGGCATGTCTCAGTCAAAAAGTCCACGATCCATCTGCACAAGCCAGGATCCACTCTCAGCAACAACAACTTCTCAGTGATCTGTTGTAGCATCACTGCACTAAACGGCGAGCTAAGGGCAGTTAGCGGGAACATGGCACAAGTGTTCTTGTTTTCCAGATGAGTCAGAGTGAGGTGGAGCATGATCATTTGCAGCTGATACTTTACGTTGCTGCATCTTTCACCTCAGTGATGTCAGGTAAATGGTGTTTGTGTTGCCAAGTGTTTCGCTGCTCTTCAGGAACAAATTGTGGAAATAAAAAGTCAGTAAACCAACTGAGTTCAGACTCAGGTGGACAACAACAGATGGGCTGACAGCAATGACCCCATCACCCTGCACCTTCCCTGCATCATTATCATCTCCTCTCCCCATCTAACCTTTTCACCTGGGTGCCATCCATCCTGTTTTTCTCCATATGTCCCTCTACTGCCTGCTCTTCTAATTTACTTCACTCATCCATGAAGCCATATTTGGACTGTGTTATCTCTCAGGCTTTCAGTGAAAAACCATTTGGAGATGCTCGACCAATTTAATTCATCATTCTGTAGCTCCACAATCACTCCATCAGTGAACCTGGCTCCATGATGCGAGTCCCCACTGCAAACAGTTGGTCATAGTTAATTACTGCCACTATAAAGGCTATTGCTGTGCATTATATGACTGGCACATTTTATAGCAGGACTGCGATCATAAAATAGAAGTGTGTCACGTATCTTATAGTGCTTGGCTGCTCAGATTCAGCTCAGCACATTAGACTAGAGATGCAAAAAGCAGTCATCAAAATCACTGGTGCAGTTCAGGATGTATGTGTAAACAGAAAACAGAATTTCTTAGACTAGCTACTTTGGCCTTTTCCTAGCAGTTGTCTAAAAACTGTGTAGGATATACTTGTATTTTGTGACTCATGGGAGGTTCAGTGAAATCCTGAGATGATGCATTTTGGCAGAAGAGAGCGGGAGGTTGGTCACTGGAGACAAGCACAGTGGAACATCTAAAACCGGCTCCTCGTGTGACGTCACCAGTCAAAGACACCTGAAGGTCTCGGCATGTTCTGGAACATCTTCAGAGTCACTGTGTCACCCTCCTGAACCACTCGTTTAATCTGGTATTCATGTTCTAATAAAATTAAAAATACTTTTCCAAAGTACATTAGTAGCTGTTCTGAAGCTTTCGATCATATTACATGATCTTCCCCAGCACACGCCCAGTCGTCACATCCACGTCGTTTTTTCTAAACATTTTTGTTGGTTTAGCATCATATTCTTGACCTTTTCATGCTCAGCTGTCATTCCAGCAGAAGGAGGAGTCCTTTAAGTGCTCAGAAATAAAAAGGGAAGTTTGAACATCCACGATTCCATGACAAGTGGAACAACTCTCCACCTGCTGAGGAGGATTATCTTCAGTGATCGAAAGCTCCAGAGCAGCTACTAAAAGGAACTTTTGTTGAGGTTATTTTGTGAACTGCTGTTACCAAAATCAAGAATGAACTTTTAAGTTCAGAAATGTAGAAAAAAAACAACAATTCTGCACCAAGAAAAACAACGGTTTGACACCAGCTTTAAATTGTTCTATATGGACTGAGGGACCTCAGGCAGCTCATGTGGAGGAGACTGTATGTCTGCATTAACTTTACATAGCTTGGGTGCAGGTGGATATCGTTGTTGTATATCTGACTTTTACCTGAATTGACCATTGAGCTGATGTATTTTTCATTTCTCCAGCCTCGGCTGTGAAGGTGTCCTGATAAGAAGTCTGTTACACTACTGCTCCCAGCGTTTTGGCGCCAAGACTTAAAGCCAGGCTATAAATTAGGTGACATATCTCAAAAGTCCGACATGTGTGCCAGAATTTGCAGTATTATACTGTTTATTATACTTTGCTGATAATCAGTAAAATCATGCTCATATTTCACTTGTTTTGTAACAGCACAGACTGAGACAGGACGTCCTATTCACTGTTACCAGAGGTACAACAGAACTTCTTTCCTTCTGTTTGCTGCAGTCTGTGTCCATACATGAGTGCACTGCTGAAAGGGATATATGCAAAAATTTAATAATGTAATAAGCTGATGTGTTGTTTGAAGAATTTATTAAAGCTGGTAACCAGGGCTGCGATTACAGATGACCGTCACTATCCATTAATGCCTTCAATAATTTTTTTAATGAGAAAATGAAAATGCCTATCACATTTTTCTAAAGTTTAAGGTCTTCATGTTCATTGTTTTGCCCATATGGCCCAAAACTCAAACATGTTCAGTTCACTATCATTGACAACTCAAGAAAACCGGCACATCTGAGAAGCTGGAATCACATTGTTGCCATTTTTGCTCAAAAAATAAAGTTATGAAGATTTCTGTGGAATTTAAATGTTACTGTTGATGCCATTTTGTACAGTAGTGCTCCTGATATTATCTCTGTGGACAGTTTATTGTTGTTGCAGTCAGAAAGTCCCACTCTGGATTAAAACACACACACACAACAGATTCACAGGAAACTACGCAGCCTAATTTTAACCCTTTGATATTGGCCTCAGTGTTTACTGTTCACTCTTCCCCCCGTCACTGATGCTGTCTGACAAAGCCGATGCTCAGTGAATGTTTGCTATAGTTTAACTTGCACTGCAGTAAAAATCTTATGGCTCCATACAACTTCAGACATCTCTGATCATCAGAACCGCTGCTTTGCTGAGACTGTTGTATTATCGGCCGCTACAAGCATCAGTGCAGCTGTAACCAAGTGGGTTTGCTGGTTCAAATGAGAAAAGCTGCAGCTGCACTCGAGCATCAGTACTTGACAAAATTACACAACAAACTGGGCAAAATGTCTGCTCTAGTAAAACACCTGATTTGTTTCCTCACCAGGCCATTTACACTGAGAGTTCACCATCACAGCGGCCACACGTATTTACACAGTGTCTTTTTTATTCCTGAAATCTTGCTGATGGGAGAGTTCTTGGGGTGGGCTAACTCTTCATCACACTTTCCTGTACAGAATAATTGCAACGGTCTCTTGTGTGCTACAGATTCTAGGGGTGCAATTAGAGCAGCTCACACTTCATGAGGTGTTTTATTAAATTCACTCTAAGACAGTTGCAATCTCCATACACTGGGGAAACTAAGTATACAACAAAGATTTGATCTTATTGGGCCTGCGCAGTTTCTCCCTTAAAAACATTGACTAGCCAGGGTTGCTGAGCTGAAGCATGTTTCTGTTTCAGACTATTCTGGATGGTCTTCCCAGAGCTGAGATGCAGCTTGAGGCTACAGGACACGGCTCTGCAGGGGACTCGGTATCCATGAAGCTGAACCGAGCTCTATTTGTGCTTCAGTCCTCTTAATTATTCATCAAGAGCACCTAACACAGCAGAAAGCTGCTGCCAGTGTAACTGCACAGCAAATACATCACTGTTTCCCATGACAGCAAGCAGATCTTTGGTGGTTCTTCAGTTTTTTGTCTTTTATAAAACTGATGTGCAACAGGCAAGACTGAAATAGAAATGTCCTCATCATGCAGCTGCTTTTCAAAATTTGTTCATGAAGCCAAAATCGTGACCTGTGGTCAGTGTTGTTAGGAAGACAGAACCCAGACCCACACGCTGGTATCAGAAATTACAGGCGATTATGATGATAAATGTCTCCTTAAAAGTCATGGGTGGGGAAAAGCAAGAAAACACTTCAAGTGAATTATAACGTCAATTATTAAACAATTGGAAGTGATACAATCCAGTCTCTCGCTCTGCTTCCATAAATAACTTTTACTGTATAATAAGACAGTACCGTGCAACAGCATTTGAAGTCAGTGATGTACAACAGCCCCGACTGAACAGCAAACAGAAACATTTCACTTTTTTAAAACAGAGCAGCTCCTACACTCAAATATAAACAACGAACAGAGAGTTTTCTTTGGCTTTCTTTGTCCTTGTGCGGTCAGTCTTACCTTCACATTCAGTTTCCACAGCAATTCTCTGCCTGGGTTACAGCCGCTCCTCTGCAAAGTCGTCTCCCTAGGGAGGCTCCTACAGAGTCCCCGACATCACGGCCGAACACCCGCTGTGGAGATGTGGAGAAGGAGAAGAAGAAGAAGTGGTGTCCAGGCAGCCGGCACATCACTGCGACCAGTTAGAGGAGTGAGAAATGAGGCAGAGGAGAGTGAAAATGTGGAGAGGGTGAGGGAGAGCAGAGAGAGAGAGGGAGGGATCTGTGGATGGAAAGAGGTGAATAAGGGAGGAAACATCGAAAGGAGGAGAGAGACGAGGAAGAGAGTGCAGAGAGGAACACAGGAAAAGCTGAAGGCAAACCACATTAAATCTGACAGGGACCAAAAAGTGGTCATATTTGTCAGGCTTTGTTCCAGTTCCATGTTGCAGAGGCATCTAATTTCAGTCTCTACAAAATAAATACACACGTGATCAGTGTGAGCAGCACCTGGAGCACAGATGCAACAGAAATCATGCACAAAACACTATCAAGAAAAAAATAACTAAGTTTACATTTTAAAAATTGCACATACATGTATTACATACAGTACTGTGTTTAACGTGGAACTGGATCACAGTGTTTATGTGTGTTGCATGTGCATCAACTTCACCGATTAAACACACACTTGTTTCGTTGTTTAGGTCGACTCAGGAAAACCTTCCCCCAAAAGTAACCTTACCTTATGAGGACCAGGTTTTTGTCTCGGAATGGGAGGTGGGTCCTGGTAATGTGACTGTGTGCAAAGATTTATTCGCCTCCAATGTGTTTAATAGAGGTACACACACAAACCGGAGACATAATGACCCCTACAGCAGCAGCAGCAGCAGTTTCTTAATTGTGTATTAACAGCAGTTGAAAGTAGCACAGCTGAAAGGGAGGAAACCACTATGATCAGTGGATCTGGGGGTTGTTGTTCTGTACAAGATAAATATGTCCTTAATTTAGCTGCATCCTTTGAGAAAACATCTCATGACTGCAAATCACTGATTAGAGCAAAGCTCCAAAGCAAACACTGCATTAAACGGGCAGGTTGGAGGAACCAGTTCATCCATCAGGTCAGCCTGTTGAAAGGCCATCTGCAAACCTGAGGTGTACGTGAGCCCAGCTTGGCCTCCCTCACCCTGCGGCTGCATTTTATGTGTTGATTTGACATTACAGCTTTGGCCTCACACTGCGGCATGGGGCCAGTCAAGCACATAATGAACCTTGGAAGGTGATCATGCACAGACGTGACTCGTCATCAGTCAGACCCGTTAGGCTGGATGTTGATGATGCAGGGGTTATGAGGGGTTAAAAACTAATGTTCAACAGATAAGAGTACACTCAAAAGGAACAGAGGCACCGTGGTAGCTTCTAAAGCTTTCAGTTTTTACTTTAAAACCATCTTCAGGAGCAGAAGAAGCAACACCAGCTGATGACAACCAGGTGTGCAGGCTGATTGCTCAGGTGCATTAGTGAAGATGGTGATGTCACATGTGAGACCCACCCACAACATCGCCCAAACAGCTTCAATTGCTGGCTTTTAAGCCACTGTTAAAGGTTTCTTTCTACTAATAGCAAAAGCCTTTGCAATAGCAGCATGTTCACTTTGATCACTTATTTCAGTGTTGTTGTACATTGTCCATAAACGATTATCTTCCACATGGGTTGACTCTGGCTTGGCTCCAGGTAACAGATCCAGCCTAACAGGAAGTTACAGTGTCAGCTCGTGTCACTGTTGTGTCCTTTTGAATGTTCACTTAATCAGGAAATCAGTTTTACCTGTATAAACCTTCTTCTGACAGAGGTTTAAATGGTTGTGTGGGTGTCTACCTTTTTTTTTTTTTTTAACTTTGTTTAATCAGGGATAGGTTCTCTGAGAGGCCATGTCTCCTTTGCAGCACCTGGAAGCTGCCCAGTACAACCACAGTCTAATCTGCTGACCACTGAGCAACTCCATTGAAGCAGTGGGGGTTAAGGGCTTTGTTTAAGGGTACAGATCCCTTTAGCCTTAAAGAGATGTATGCCTATGTATGTGAGAACAGGTCTTAGTCGTTGTCTATGTGCTTAGAGCCTGGATAGTGGCCTCTGCCTCTTATAGAGGGGACCTACCTCCGAGTTTAGAATTTAATAGCGTGAACAGACTTTGATGTTAATGGAGACACAGCAAGACCCTCTAATAATGCTCTAATTTATTGTACTGTATATCCTTAGCCTTTCTTTACAACTGCTCCATCTTCTTTTATATTAAGGGTTTCATTGGTAATATTGCTACTGTTGAACACCTCTGCCTCCTTTACACACTTGGGGCCAGCTGACAGGCTTCCTGGAAGCCCTGTGTTAGGCTCAGTAAAGCCAGATGACCCCAAGAGAGCCAGCCAAAGTTGAACTGGCTTCGTGGTGGCCTACAGGCTCCAGAAGGAGAAATAGAGTTTGTGGTTCGAAATAAGCAGAGTCACTGATCACAACACTTGAGTCTGTACTTTTGCATGGAAACACTGACCAGAAAGTAACAAGGAGTAATGTTCCTGAAGTGGTGACCACAGTAACATGGAAAACAAAGGGAATTCGGTGGAAACATGGAACATGAACGCTGGGCTGAGAAGCAGGAGAGTCACACAAGGAGCTTCAGTGATGACGAGAAGCCAACTGACATCCTGACTGTTACTGTCGCAGTAGCCACGTTTAGCTGGTATGAATAGCAGAAACTCTCCTTAGGCACAAAATGTTCAGCCAGTAAAGTCATTTATCAATGACTGACAACTCTTAAATATTCTAAATACAAATAAAATTTTATTTCTTGTGCAAACTGTACTGAGAAACGTCCTCACACTCAGTTCTGGTTCCAGAGCAGGAATAAGAGCTTTGTTGAGATCTGATGTGCAAGGTCTCTCCAGCTTCCTCTCCTCACTTAGTCCTTATGTAAGTCTGTGACCTCTACTTCCTCTCCGTCTTCTCCATCTTCATTATGGCTGAGAACTCTGCAACACAAAGAACCAGATGTGGGTGCTGATGTGCAGTGAGGGTGTGGGCTGCATACTGTATGGGACTTACTGACGCTGCACGTTAATGTTGGATTTTCACACTCTATAATAACAAGTGTGTGCTATAACTCCTCTGTAGTGAGGTATCCTGAGAGTTTAACAAGTGAAAATCATGTGGCAGTGTTGACATTAAGGGATCACAGCACCTGCATCATGTTGAGCTCATCCTTTGTCATCATAGCATTTAAAAACTGGAGTGACTTTCCATTTCTATTCACTGCATGACAGGTTTAAGTACAATGCTTTGTACTGTACATCTTAGACTGGTTAACTGCTGACCCTTAGTGGTGACAGCAGGTCAGTGCACCAAAGAGTATAAAACAGGAGGAACACGTCTTCACCTCTGTAGTCAATGCGTCCATCTCCATCAGTGTCTAAAGCCTGGATCATGGCCTCTGCTTCCTCATTAGAAAGCGGAGCTGATGGGGTTGTAGTTGGTATAGTGGACAGAAGGTACCTGGAAAAACACGTTTGTCCATCAGCTTGTATGAAAAATCGAAAACATATGTTTGTCCATCAGCTTGTATGAAAAATCATGTCTTTGATTAGATGTTTGACCCTGTATGCTTTGAGTTAATGACTGTAGATATAACACTACTAAAGCCAAGTTAGACTAAGAGCAAGAACTGCAACATCTTTCCCAGAGGCAGGTCGATCCAGAGTCTAGACGTCCTGGCAGCAAAGCATTTATTCATCTGGTAGAAACAAGGGATTTTTTTTTTTTAATTACCATCAAATCTCGTTTAACCAGCAAAACCAAGATGGACTGACTAACACATACTGTGTATGTTTTCCCAGGGCTTCACTGTGTACATTGTCACACTGTTGCCCTGGCATGAACGCACACGCTGTAGTTCACGTTGACTCAGTCCCACACACACACAGTCCTGCTGCCACTGATATTCAGTAGAGACCAAATGGGGATTCATCTGCTGCTGTCAGCTTATTTCTCTCCTGTTTGAGTAACATTTGCTAAAAACTAATGAGCAGTAGTTGTAGGAAATCACTGAAGCTCCTGTACATTTGAAAACACTTCTTTAATAAAAATGTCTCAATCTTCAGTAAAGTCAGACATTGTTGATTTGGCCTTTTTTATTGGACTTTTAGACAATTAGAAAAATAAAGCCATATCTTGAACTTAGTTTAGGGCTCATACTTGATTTTATTCCACTCTATGTAGCCACTGCCATCTTTGTCCAGCATTATGAAGGCCTTCCTGATGGCGTCCTCTCTTTGCTCTGAGGTCTTGTACTCCAAAAACCTGCTGTAGTTGAAGTTTCCTGCACACAGTCAGTCACAAAGGCTGACATCAGGCAGTGAAATCATCATTGTGACTCACATGTGAACACCTCCTCAGTCATCATTTATTGTTGGAATGCCTTCTCAAACACCCACACCCACACAGTGTGTCACCCTGCATTCTCGTCTCTTGTGGCCTGAGATCGATGTCCTGCTCTGTGAGCGAAGCTCCCATGGCCACAGTCACCTTCTGTGGCTGAAAGCAGTCCTCCATGTTCTACAGGTGTGTCCTGAACTGGAGATCAGGAGGCAAATAAGCAGATGGTTCAACCAGAAACAAAACCAGAGGTTAGTAGTAACTACATACATTTGCTCAGCGTACATAAAAAGACTCCAGTTAATCCAAAATGCTGCAGCCAGAGTACTGACAGGAACTAGCAAGAGAGATCAGATCTCTCACATATTAGCTTCTCTGGCTCCCTGTAAAACCCAGAGTAGAATGTTAAATCCTTCTCCTGACATACAAAGCCCTTAATGACGAGGCTCCCTCACATCTTAAAGACTTCATAGTGCCTTAACATGTCAGAGGCTTGTTAACGATCACTGGAATTACGCCAAAATCTGTACAACCTTGGTAAACTAATTAGTCAGCTGGGTTTCTCATACTGAGGGAGAACATGGATGTTTTGGGGGATTTCTGGGACCTGATCTGAGAAGACATCACTTCCAAAGTCCCCACATGTCACTGGGGAGTGTAAGCTTAGACAAGGGGCATTTCTGAGGGACTGGTTAGCATGTGCATTTACAGCATGCAGTGAATTAGTTGTGTAAACAGCATGCAGAGTGCAGCAGAGGGTGAAAACAGCCAGCAAAGCTGCTTGACCTATTGCTGCATTTCTGCTGGCTGTTTCATCACTGCTTCTCCTCTTCACATCATCATTTGCATTTCAAGAACACACTTAGTAAGATGAATGTGCCTTTTCTCATTTGCCAAAAGTTACAAAGACATACCAAAGATCAAACAAGACCATCCTGCCAACACAACAGAACCAGAGCTCGTTTACTACTATGACAAATTAGCAGCATGACAGCAAACAAGAAACTGAGCCTGACATTAGTCAAAGCAATTTGCAATATACTGGAAATAGACCAGCGACCAGGTCCATCCCTTTTACCTTTTCCCTGCCATCATGTCTTGCTTGATTAAAGGTAATTAACTGCTACACATACAAATATATGGCCGCATTCAGTATGTGATGTATACGTTTCTCTCGTAGTAGCACAACCTGTATTTTACTGTCATAATTGTGAGGATATGTTTGTTTTGTCTGGCTAAATCAGTACATCAGCACTCTTGGTTCATGTCTGTTTTTGTCCCTGGTTTCTGTTTTTGAAAGTATGTTGCGTTCATACAGCTACAGAGTGTGGTGACTGCACTTGTGACGCATTTAGAGATGCCTTGGAGGTCAGAGTCTTGGAATAGATTAGATAGCAGGAACCTGAAGTCTTATCCTCAGATTGAAACATATTGTGCGTGACCGTTTTAGACTGATCACATCTAGTAGAAGATTAGAAGACTGTCTCCACACTCTGCTGCTGTTTCTTTCCATGCCTTATTTGCTGTGATGATAAAGGAAGTGAGTACTCCTCATTCTCTGTTTGACTTGGTGATGACCATTCAGCTGAATTATTGGCATGCTTCAATAAATTTTTAAAAGATTACCAAGCTCCCTGTTCCTTTCTCACCACTTTATTAGTCTTGCCACTACACTACTCACCAGATTCAAGGTTTCCTGGTACGTCTGACCCTGCCCTGCTTTCGGTCTCTTATATACAGGATGAATGAACCTCCAGTGGCCTCGCACCTGTCTATCTCTCCCCAGATGGAGCCGTTCTCCATCAAACCTTTGGCTCCTGCGGCTACAGACATGACGTGTCTCTCTAGATTTACTGGGACAAGATCCCGCACTATCCGTTAATGGAGTTGAAGTGAAGGACAGCAACCCTTTGGTGGGGTTGAACCAGAGGCCAGCCTTGGCACAGCACTTGATTATTCATCGTGTAGCGAGATACAAGTTCTACAAGTTATTCCTGAATGCAGTAGTGCTGCAAGGTCTCATAAAGACAGCTCAGCCTCTACACCAATAGAATTCTCATAATGTACAGCCTTGTCAGCTCCCACTACCAGCACTACCAACATTAATTCCAGAAAGGATCTCTCCCAGCCTGAGACAGCCCTCAAATAGCTCAATCAGAGGTTCAAGTGTTTTGTCCATCCATCTACTCTATAGTAATGTCAGTATCTATTTTGCACTGTACAGTATATATGAAATGATAGTTGTATTTCTACCAGCATGTGTGGCGGTAGGCCTCATGGCCCATCCTGCACCATCAGCAGGTCAAAACGTAATTTGTCCTACTCACTTTATGATCAGATGCCTGCAAAATTGATGTTTCCATCAGATAATAAGCAAATATTAACACGCTAAACTAAGATGGTGGACATCACAACAGCTGCATGTCAGAATGTTAGCATGTTCTACATTTAGCTGAAAGGCGCTTTGGATCTAGTGTTAGGCTGTAGACCTGCTGCAGCATACAGGAAAATCTCAGCAGCTGCTAAAATGTGCCGCATCTTCTCATACTGCACTGCAAGTGTGTGGTTTTTGTTCTGTCCTCAATTTCAAGTCACTGACAAAGAAGAAAAGTAGAACTGCATAATTTGTTGCTTGTTCTTTAACATATTGAACCTGCTTGTTGACAGCATCATGACAGCCTCCACAGATGTATTATTTTCAGGATGCCAGGCTACTCAGAAATCTTCTCTTGACATGTGTAGGACTGTGCATGTAATGATAAGCAGAGCACTTTGCAGTAAACTATCCCTACAGCCTGATATCAGAGACAGTTAGTGTATGGTATGTCACCTTTACGTCTGTAGTTAACTGATAAAAGCAATGAAGTGGAAGCTCCTCAGCACCTAGCATTACCGCTTTGATCAGAGACCACAGTCACAGTGATGAATCAGCTCAGGACACCAGACAGGTTATCAGGTTTGCACCACACACTCACAAACAAGTGCTACAAGGCAGATAGAGTGGGGCGCTGCAGAAAAAGTCTTGTGCCAACGTACACATTAAATAACATACGAGCAGTGAAACACTTCTGGGCTTTCGTATGTAGATGAGTGATCACCACACAGCAGACAGACAATCTCTACACAACTCTGAGCCTGATATTGTCAGTTCAATGTGAGAACCACACACCACTAATAGAGATGAACCAAATTAAAAGGCCAGTATCACAGCTTGTAAGTAAGGTAGGTAGGTACTTTATTAAGAGAGTAGTAAGAGTAACTGGTAAGAGTAACTAGTAAGAGTCTGACAATAACCATGAGCTGGAGAGGGGTGAGTGCTGTTAATGGTGTAGCGCTGACAAAGTACAGTGACAGTAGACAAAGTCATTGAGGAAAGAAAACACTTCTTCCTCCACAGGCAGGAATCCTTAGTAGCAGAGCGAGTACAGCAATCCAAAAAGACAGATACTAAGACTCGCTGTATTTCAGGGGCAAGGCAGCACAGTAGTCAAGAGTCCAATATTACTCTGTCTTTCAGAGACAGGGCAGGCTCATAGTCAAAATACCAATCCAAAGGTCTGGTGGAGTTCACAGTCTTTCAGAGGCAAGGCTGAGGGGTAGTCGAGGTTCAGATCCAAAGTTCTAGTCCAGTTACACAAAAGCACAAGACATACAAGAACAGAATGACTGGACAGTCAAGCACAGTCATGACAATCTGGCAGTTTCTCCAAAGGACGAAGTTGCTAATAAGAGGGTATACACAGTTGTTTTCAACCGGCACAGGTGAGGATGATTGGAGTGCTGAAGTAAAGTGACCAGGAGTGAGGATAGGGTGGAACAGGAAGTGTCAAGTAAAAATAAGAGCCCGTTACCAGAAGTGGAGCTGGAGTTCATGACAGATATGTAATTGTTTATTTTACAGTTGTACAGATGTGTTCCTTGAAGATGTCATTTCTAGAAGGAAAACTTGTCTATTCAGTTTCAGTTCAATTCAATTTTATTTGTATGGCTCCAATACACAACAATAATCATGGTTAGGAGTCATGATCTTATAAACAAAAATACTTTCTATATATTTGTTTGAAGATTTTCTAATCTTAAAATCATGTTACTGCTAATTCTTATTTTAAATAGCTATTCATCTGTCAATCCTTTTTTCAATGAGTAGATTAATGTTTAGTGTACAAAAGGTCAGAAACTGGTGAAAATCCCCAAAGCAACACGTTCATTTCCTGAGGTTTTACAATAGAGGGCGATGCTCTGACAGGGTGTTGGCTGTATTTCTAATATTTTGTCCATCCCATTTACATATGTGAGGGGGCAGAATATTGGAAACTCTTTTCAGTCTAATGTCATCCAGTGCAACACCAACCTCCATATTAAACATAGAGTAGAATTAAATCATAATTAAATAAAATAAAGGAAAACTGAAATGCAGAAACTTGGAAAAGGTGGAAACAGGTATACTTAAAAGAGTGAATGTGACCTGTGTGTATCTGTGTTCTGTGGAATTATTCAGGCAACATGAACAAATAAAAATCTATGTCCATTGTAGTAGCAAACAAATCAGGAACCAATTCAGACTAAATATAAAATTTTTCTACATGCAGGTGCCTAAACTATCTCCAGGCCTCATAATATAAATATTACTCTTAAAATTTTCATGAATTGTGTAATTCATCACAGCCAACTTAAACCATAAAGCACTGTTTATGCAGCCGTACGTGCACTGAGCTGTCTGCATTCTGTACTTTTACGAAACAAAATGACTCTTCATTTCCTTACTCCCTTTTGAAATAGGATGTTGGGCCAGTATATAAGCCTGAATTGCTGTGACTGATAATGGTGTACAGGATATATATGTTTTGTTTGCTGATTAATAACAGTTTGCTAAGTGAGTGTACAGACTAATTGTTGTTTTTCTATTAGTGTTGAGGATGTCAGGCAGTTGTATTAATGTACATTTCAGCACAGATTTTGACCAGTCTTGAGTGGATGGACTGACACAATCGCTCTTTACACAGTATAGAATTTAGCCACAAGCAAAGGCCGTTAAATAAAAGGACCTGTAACTCAAATGTCAGCTTTGCAGGAACCATAAAATGCAGCATTGTTGTCAGATTGACCACAAAGCAATTTTAAACACTGACAGTTTTTCACACAAAAGCCAAAGAGTCATAAAAAGTCCTTAGTCAACAGAATAAAAGTGATTTAAAGTGTCTAAAGCATCAAAGTTATGAGCTCAGTGGAGTGGATCCAGGCTGAGCTGCTGGCTGAGGAGCCGTCCCGAGGCTGGTGGCTTCTTCATGAGCCCCACAGTGAAAGCAGAGGCTGACGTGCAGCTGCCTGGGTGCAGAGTGACCAGGGCTCTGGAGGGGGCTGTTAAAGAGTCTGGAGCCTGCTCCGAGCCCCTGCTAGCCCCCAAAACACCCCCAAAGGACACCTCTTTATGGGGTGAGGATGGAGCTGGATGGAGCATCAGGGTGGGCAGAGATTTAAATTCCAACAGTGTAATTCCATTTCTGTCCTCACAACAAAATGTATCAAATGTTCAGCATGATGCTCTCAGCTGATTAACAGATTTAAATATAAAAGTACAGCAATAGTGTACAGCTCATCTAATGCCCGTCACAGCTGATGTGAAGTGACTGGTGAGCACGTGCTCCTTTTCTGGCGTTTCAGCCCAGAAATCCATCTCATCCTCTCCTTTCTGTTTCCAGGGAAACAGCAGACAGGCAACACCATGTATCAGAGTAGAATATGGCATGGTGAGGAAGTGGAGGTGGCGTGAAAAGATTTAGGAGGAATGTTCCTCTCATAGAGACCAAGGTCCAGAACTAGGAGCCAGTATGTTTAATATAAACTCTGCAGCCTTATCTGTGACCCTGCACACAATAAGCTAATTACTGAACTGATGGACAAGAATATCTGCCTTGAGACCTCTTTACTTGTGATTTTAGAGACTTTGAGATGAAGCTGAGCCTTCGGTCAAAGAGCTAGATGAATCACACTCTGGAGCTGCTGTGATGGGGAATGGATGGAGGTAGGTTTTGAACAGAAGCTAGAAGCCGACCAGAAAAGAGCAGTTTGGAACATTGGCCAGTGTCACATCAACATGCAGATGATGCCATTATTCACGGCTCACTTTTAAATCAGTAAGTCACTATCTATTGGTTCATGACAAGCTCACTGACAAGTGTCTGTTTGCAACTGCATCAAAACATCAGACTGTTGATGTAAAATCAGAAAGTTTAATTATGTCCAATGCTCAAGTCAGTTTTAGTTGTACATTGCCAAATCACAACAACAACCATCTTAGGGGACTTTACAAAAAGCTCTAGACCTTATGGAGAGAACCTGACAGAGCCCTTCTGTACACGCACTTCACGACAGTGGGGAGGAAAAACTCCCTTTATCGAGAGAAACCTCTGACAGGACCAGACACTATATAGTGGTGACAAAGTACACTTACTAAAGTACTTGACCTAACTGCAGTTTAGCCATACTATAGTTACTTTGAGGATCATGTTTGCATTTTAACTGTCTTTACTTCAGCCACCTACAGTACAACAAGAAAATGTTTCTTAACTGTGATGGAGACATTTTTCCTGCTTGTACCTTTGCTTACAGGCATCCTGTTGCCAATAGGCCTGGTATTTGTGGTAGACTTATTTACTGGTACTACTGCTTTTGCTTGTTAATGCTTCGTCTTCTACGTACATGCCTGCGGGTGTTCAGGACCAGGTCAGAATGACCTGGAAAGCCACAGTCAGCTGATTGAGCCGTGAAGAAAATGCATAAATGGGAGAGAGCGTTTCTGATTTGCGAGCTGTCAGCCACAACAACTGCACCACCACTTTTTGATTTGTACATTGTTACTTTAAGCGTAAATGGTTTCGGGCAGCCTCTTTGGGAGAAGCTGCCAGCTTGTTCACATAGAGTACTTCAAATCATAAAGACTGTGTTTGCTATTAAAAAATGATACATTATATAACTACTCATCCTTGCAACAAAGAGCAGGGTGTACAAAAAGAGTGATGGAGAGTCTGACAAAGACTCAATCTGTGCTTAGACAGAGATTGTTCTCCTTTCTGGCAGCTCAGACATTTCTGTGGCTCTGCGTGGGTGAGGAATTACAATCACAGTAAGCCTGTGAGATGCTCAAGGAAAAGTTGACTCCCTCTGCTGCCAGGAATCCGATCTGATGGGAGGCCTTTCCTCGCTGTTACATCACAGCCTGTTCGTGTTCATCTCCTCTGATCTCACTGAGGGAGGCGATGCAGAGGCAGCTGCAGGCTCTGCCTCCACAAACACAGAGCACACATTCGCTGAAATCCATGACAAAAATATCTGCTTTGCAGGTGAAGATGCGCCGGCTTCAGACTCAGCTTTCTCGCTTCCCGTATTTGTCCAGTTTCTAGGTCTGCGCTGTGCATTACAGTCAGCTGAACATGTTCACGCAGCGCAGCAGCCTATCCAGAGCCTCCGATCCCCCTCCTCTCTGCAGGCAGAGCGCAAAAATCGCTCCATAAATTCTATTTGGGCGCATTAGCGAGCAGGATGGCGCTCTTGCTGTCAGCACCGCGGACAGCTCCCAGCAGCTCTGACAGAAAAGGGAAAGTTTGATTTTTGGTTTTGCTTATTTGCAAAGGCGTCACGTGTCTGATCCCGGTCGATCGGAGCTTTGGGATGATGTGACTCCGTCCAGGTGTCGGTGGAAGCTGTGCGCTAGTCACTGCAGCCACAAAGGGAAATTTAAATTCTGGATCATCCTAACTGCTATTAAACAGGACTTTGTCGTCCAGTCGCCTTCCTCCTCCTCCTCCTCCTCCTCCTCCTCCTCTGCGGCGACAATCAAGATCTAGGAGCAAAATAAAAAGGTAACAGCCTCGGCCTGCAGTGACTGGAACCCGGAGGAGGAGTGCGTGTCTCTCAGCGTCTTAATTACACCGGTACAGGGAGACATGGAGGAGCGCAGTGAGAATTCACCCGGGGCCGCTTCGGAAAGGAGAAATGAAGCTGTGTTCAAGAAATAGTGTTGCCTAGTTTTTGCTTTCCAAGCCTTTTAGTTTTTCTTTCGGCGTACAGCGCCTGTTATGAAGATGCTGGTGCTCCTGGTGACGATGTCTTCAGTCGTTTTCAGCCCCGGCTTTGCTCTCAGCTCCCATTTCAGCTCAGGTGAGCCGACATTCCGCCGCTAACATCCCTGAACAATGCTGAGAACGTGCTGACTATACTCGTTTTAGGCCTTGCATAGACATTGTCGACAAACGTCTAATCTCAGTTATCATCCAGTTCTATAAGCCAGCCACTATACAGGGCTGCACTATATATAAAGCATGTGACCATGCAGTTGTCAGCGCCGTGTCTCCTTGTGTATGTGTGTGCGGAGGTTTGGGATGAGAAGACAAGCGAGTCATTCGAGTGTCTAAATGACACTCATCTGCTCTGATAATTGTTCCTCTCAGCTGCTCCGGTCAGCTGAGCAGTTTAAAGGCGCAGTATGGTGAAAGCACAGTGAAGGTGAGAGGTGACAAGGAATTGTGGGAGCGGAGGAGCAGAGACGGTGTATGGAGGTAGATTGTTTCTCACAGAATGATGAAATAATCTGTTATTTTTTTATTATTCAGCATAAGCAGCTACTGTCATTCAGGTGGTTTCTATAGCAACCAAAAAGTGCAGGCCTCTGTGGCCATCTTGGATAAAAATAGATTTTCTTTCTTATAGTGTTAAAGCATTTTAAGAGTTACACAGACATGGTCCTGAGGGCACTGGCATATGTTCCTGGGCTGTTTTCGAGGCTGCCATACAGTGCTCAGTGGGCCATTAAATAGAAGCATAATGTTCATGATGGCTGCTTTCCACTTGATGTCCAGAGTGGGTCTCTACTGCATTTCTTGCAATGGCTACCTTGGTTTTATTATGCCCTGCTGCCCTTTTCAAAACACATTAACTGGATTGTGTGAATCCCCCTCTACTCCAGCGGATGGTTTGTACCAGATGAACAGTCGAGGCTGAACAAAGCATTTTATTCTCTTATGTCTTTCTTTTTCTACAGAGATTCATAGGAACCAGGGGTTGTGTGTCTCTTCTGTTCTCTGAGAAGCATCAGCCCCTGAACACTGACTTCAAACCACAAATTTAACTAGACAGCATTTGGATTTTTAACACAGCAAAATCCATCATTACAGTTTTTATTTCCAACTAACCCCGATCCAGCTGTGATAAAAATGTTGTCTGTTTAATTCCACATGTGATTTGGAGTGAGTGTGTTGTGTTCAGTTGTCTCTGGGACCTGTCGTGCTCGTGTCACAGCACTGACCATGGCACTGAAGTCATGACTGTGCACTCACCACCTCCACTGTATGTATTCAGCACACTCCAGCCACACACTGCTCACACAGGCTCCTGCAGCTCTACAAACATATAAGAAATATGATTTTTAACCTGAGACAAATATTCAAATGGGAAACAACACATTTTCTTGGCTGCACTGTTCCATCAAACTGAAGTATTTGCAATATTTTGTTCACATTTCCCCAAAATTCAGTCTCACCCATCTGGTCGTCTTTGGATTCTTGGTGATCTCCACTTGATCAGTGTTTGGCCGCACAGCTTACTGGTCTGATCTGACCACTGGAGGACACTGGGGTTTAGGCGTGACATTATACATTAAGTCGGTATAAATAAACAGACATAAATACAATAATTATCAGTCCTTCAGCATTTTGGCTGCACAGAGCTACATCTGCCAAGTCGTATCTTGCATTAATTTGTTTCTGTGTTTGCTGACAGAAGGATCACTTGCAGTTTTGTTGTGTTCTTTATGATGCTGATCTGTGGAATCGATATGTCAAGGGTTTCACTGATAGGCTGAGGATGTAAGGGCATAGGAATGGAGGGTTGAGGCACAGAAGTGGCTGATGGAACTGAGAAATTGAAAAGTAAAAGCAAAAGTGTGACAGAGGGGGAAATCTAGGGCTTCTCTTGTGACAAAGCATAATTATGACCGCTGTATACTGTAGGTGGGGGTATAGGGATGATATCACCGCCCAGTAAAGGTGGGGCTTGGTATCAGTGGTGGTGGAGGGGATGATTTACTGGCAGTGCTGGCTGGTTCCCCAGGCCCCAGGGTATCCAGTTCACATTTCTCAGTGGGCTCCAGGCTGTGCATACACCAGCACCCTCTGATTATATGGATAACAAAACAGACAGGGAAGCAGGACGTGCTGTGTTGGAGAGCTCCAGGCTTTCGCTAAACCACGACAGGGGGCTACACCAGCAGGTAAACCCAGGAAGGAGTGGCTGTTGGCTTGGAGGTAACTAAGTCAAGAGTAAATGTACATAGCTGGGGGTGGGGTGTCTGTGCTCTTTGCCCTCATACAGAGAAAAACCAAGGCTGCAATCGAAGCACAGAGATGGGAATATGAGATAGGTAGAGAGAGTGACTTGAGACACTATCATTTGTGATAAACATACAGCAGAGAGATGTTTTGACTGCAAGGGAAGCTCGCAGAATAAATGATGTACTGCTGGAAAGCTGAAGAAGTGCAAGGCACAAAGCCATGGCTATAAATTGGATTCATGACATTTACAATGGTAGACCAACCTCTAAAATCTTTCTCCTGTGATCTACACCTCTGAACCTTCTGCTCGGAGCAGCTACACTGATCCGAGCAGATGAAAGGACGGTGGTGGTGGTTGGGGTCGTGAAAATCCAGTGGCAGGAGTTGATGTTTTGTTTTTTTTAACAGCTTGTTAAAAACGTAATCATTCCTGTATAAGAACTGAAAGGTCCAGAGTGTCTGAAGTGAGGCTGCTGCAGACACATCTCTAATATCACCTGTGCTCCGAGTGTGTCTGTTTCTGAAGAATAATAGCCTCTGATTGCATACAAATGATTTTTGTTGGAGGACAGACTCCTACTCGTCTCCTTCTACCTCCGTTCAAATTAATTTCTAGCTGTTGTGGTGAAGATAAATTCTTGCTGACCTCGGGAATGAAACAGGATGTAAACATCCCCAGGTTACAGCAGAAGATCAGACACACACACACACACACACACACACACGCAATCATAGACTCCACTTTGACACTTCCGTGGCTTGATGCAGCAGAGCAGATAACCACTCTAATCTGCCAGTCACTGTCTCTAAACTGCTGCGCTTTTATTGAACATCACCATTTAAACCTGACTGGGAATCAGTGTTGATCTTGTTTAAGAGTTTCCTGATGCAGGGTGCATCTTAAGGATCCCAGGAAAACACAGACCTCAGATCGACACAGCCTGCAACTAATGAGTATCTCTATCATTACTTAATCAGAGAATTACTTTTTCCATTGATCCAATTATTGATGAATCCATAAAATGTCTGAGATGAAGGGAAAAAGCTTATTTTGTTTTGATTGATTATTATAATTGCAATGATAGAAAAACACAGAGAAGCAGAGAAGTCACACAGATTAGCATTTCTCTTGATAAATGACTGAGAACCTCCAAAAACGATCCATTAATTATCTAATGGCTGCAGCCGCCATCAGATCAATAGTCTGTATTGTATGATCTGCAGTATATTGACCTGGTCAGCACAGGCCTTGTGCCGAATCCACATATACTGTGTATACACATGTATTCATCCCTGTGGCTGGAACCCAGCAGCCCTGGAGGGGGCAGGGCTCAGGGTCTCGCTTGAGGGCGCTTCAGCTTCCTGTTACAGAAGTGAACCAGGATGAGCCAGTGTGTCTGATGGCTGCTTTGTAAATGAAGTGGGGTTCATCTTAATCTACTGGTCTGCAATCAGAGGCTTTGTGCCACCAGGATAGCCCAGTGTCCCTTTTCTTATCCAGGTTCATACATATATGTATTTATGTCTTAGCTTTTAACCTCTGGAACCGTGTTCACTTACTTGAACACGATAGTGTGTTTTGTAAAACCTGCTTTGGATCCTCAACACGTTCAGTGAGAAACCATCATGTTCCATTTAGTGTTTTGATTGATTGATTGATTGATTTTATTCTTTCAAACATGCAGAACAGAACAGATGAACAAATGACAACAACACACATAATTTCACATATCCAACCAATACTAATCCAAAATCAGTTTGCTACACCTAATACATGTTTGAATGGAGTAGGAAGAAGTCAGACTTATCCAGTCCTACCCCATGACATCATCTTACAAAATTTCATGCATCATCAGCTGCAAGCAGTATCTCTACATAGATAAAACAGAGTGTTTCTCCTCAATGCCTTCTCTTATTCTTGCATATATCTTGTATAACACATACATTTATATTTATATTTAAACTCCTCAATTCTAGTACTATTCTTCATGTCCACAGTTAAATTATTCCATAATTTGACCCCACTTATAGAAATACAAAATCTTTTTTTGGTTGTACGTATAGCATGAACTTTTAAATTTAAGTGTCCCCTTAAGTCATATCCCCCTTCCCTTTCACCAAATAACTTTTGGATTCCACCAGGTAATAAGTCGTTCCTGGCTTTATACATAAACACAGCAGTCTTATATTCCACTAAATCAAAGAGTTTTAACAATTTAGACTGTATGAAAGCTACATTTGTGTGATCCCTATATATATTGTGTGATGCTTTATCTTGAATAAATGCACCTGTTTAAAGTCAACATTTGCTTTTCAGTGTATTTCTGAAGTTCCTGTAAACTTAGCACTGAATAGAAATCTTTCACCTGAACTGAGCTCACATCCTTTCTTCTTTTTTGACATAATGTGTTGATTACAAACTTTTTTAGAGCCGGCATTAAAACACTGCTCACACCACAGTGTGAAGCCCTAATGATGATGAGATTGTTGACGTTTACGTCTTATTACAACTTTTACGACAGCATTAGTCAGGCCACTGTGTTTTATCTTCTAATCCTCCCACTGATTGTCTCTGCTGAGAGTTTCAGCCACACTGCTGCTCTGCTCTCTGCAGCGCTGCCCTTGTGCAGGCTTTCCTCGCCTGCAGCTTCCACCCTGCTCTGTTTCAGGCCTGACTAATTGGGCAGATGATGGATTGTGACACCACTCACCTGTCCAAGGCCCGGTTCTCTGTCTGTGCAGCTCCTGATGAGGCAGCAGTGATTGTCATGTTAGATCAGAGAGGTTACGTTGTTGACAGAATACATGGCAGAAATAATGAGTATCGTGTCC